AAGTTCTTTAGGGCGGGGCTATCAGTCAATTAGGGTGGGGCTATCAGTCCTTTAGGAAGGAGCTATCTGTCCTTTAGGATAGGCCATCAGTCTTTTGGGTTTGGGACTATCAGTCATTTAGGGCGAGAATATAATTCCTTTAGGGTGTGCTATCAGCCATTTCAGGGCTATCAGACCTTTAGGCTGGGGTTATCAGTCCTTTAGGATGGGTTTTTTGGGTTTGGGACTATCAGTCATTTAGGCCTGAATTATGAGTGCTTTAGGTCGAGACTTTCAGTCCTTTACGGTGGAGCCATCAGTACTTTAGGACTGTTTTTTAGGGTTTAGGACTATATCAGTCAGTTAAGGTGGAACTATCAGTCATTTAGGGTGGAGCTATCAGTACTTTAGGATGGGTCACCAGTCCTTTAGGTTATCAGTCATTTAGGGCGGGACTGTCAGCCCTTTAGGGTTTGCTATCAGCCATTTAGGGCGGGACAATAAGTCCTTTAGGGCGGGGCTATCAGTCCTTTGGGAAGGAGCTATCAGTCCTTTAGGACAGGCCATTAGTCTTTTAAGTTTGGGACTATCAGCCATTCAGGGCGGGACTATAAGTACATAAGGGCAGGGTTGTCAGTCCTTTTAGGTTTGGGACTATCAGTCATTTAGGGCGGGACTTTTAGTCCTTTAGGGTGGGGTTATCAGTCCTTTAGGATGGGTCTTTTGGGTTTGGGACTATATCTGACATTTAGGGTGGCACTATGAGTCATATAGGGTGGGACTATAAGTCCTTTAGGGTGGAGCTATCAGATCCTTTAAGGTGGGATTATAGTCCTTTAAGGCAGGGCCATCAATCTTTTAGGGTAGTTTCTGCACTGCCTTAGTGGGAGGCAGTGGTTCGACCAATGTGATAGGATTCATCTATAAAATCTATCTCCTCATTCTTGTTGGGTCGTGCCGATAGGGATTCTGGTGAACAGTAATCCTCCACTGGCAATTCAAATCTTCCTCCATCTTCCAGTGATACAATTGGTTGCCAAATTATGAAATCATGTTCCCCTCTACATTTTTTCTCACTCCAGAAACTATTTCAATTGGATGCATCTCATGAAACGGTAAAATGGACAATCTTAACTTCCGTTTCATACTTCATTTAACCATGATGCAACCTGTGCCATATAAAAAAAAATGTAAGCATACAGCATTACTTCCCACGTGAGTTTATGCGAATGTACGTCATTATGATACAAGAGAACTCTGGAACCATATCAGGTCACTGATCTAATATAGAGAACTTTCCAGATAGATCAGTGCATCAGATCCATTTGCCAAGGGTGCGGTTTAAAGTCACTGTTGTTGTAAATGATGTCAACTTCACGCACAGACTGACTGTTTCACTTAACAAGACCTCAATGTATCAACAGAAGCCAAAGATTTTGTTGTTTTTTTGTCTATAAGCAGAGGTGCAACTTTGGTCTGTCGTGGTTTGGTTTACATTTAGATACTAGGTGATATAAAAACAATTAAGCTGAATATAAAAAAAAATTTAGTGTATAAAGCTAAAAGGAATTATAGGCCACAAAACTATGTGTCAAAAAGTATAAGCCTACACTGCAAAAAATGCTTTTTTTACTTACATTTTTTGTCTTGTTTCTAGTCCAAATATCTAAAAGTTCCTAAATCAAGAAGAATTTTCTTAACAAGCAAAACAAATTGCCTTGTTTTGCTTGTCTAAAAAATGCTTCTTGATATAAGAAATTTTAGATATTTAGAATAGAAACAAGACAAAAAATCTAAGCAAGAAAAGCATTTTTTGCAGTGTAATTTGTTGTTAATAAGGACTTGTTGTAAAGACTTGAGTGAATCGTGTAATAAATGTATAAATAAAAATATTCACCATTAATGTTTTGTATGTGAACAAAATGTAAGGTTAAACAATGTACACTGTCAAACTAACCACTTTACTTGATGTAAATCACTTGTCCTGGACGTTGATCAAAGACATCAACCAAGTATATCTATGTTTTTTATAGACCTATTGATTGCAGATAGACACATGCGAAAAGTTAATTATAAATAAATCCAACAAGTTCTCAGTGAAAATTACACCTCTGCCTCTGTGTGTATTTTTGACTCTCAAAGTGACAGTAGCTATAGACTTGCATTTTTGATTACCGAAGGACCAGAGTTTCAGCTAAAAATCTCCTTTAGTCATCAGTTAAAGAAAGCCAGCTACATCTCAGAGGAAATTACCAGCAGTTTCTCATTTATTTCTAAATGTAATTATACACTTTTTATAATTTCATTGTCATAAGCAACTTAATTTGTATTATATTATCCTTTTGATACATAAATACTGTTAGTCTTAACAAGTCACGGTCGATTTAAATGTGTTCAAATCTTTAGTGGAAATTGAGGGTCTTGTTAGGACACAGACAGCAGCGCTCAGCAAGAAACAGAAGACAGCCGAGATTTGTAGCTGTGATATGATTGACTGACAATGGCTGACTGTTGTGCTTGAATACTAACAAAGCCCAGCATGAGATGTCTTTGTTGGCATGTTTGTATGAGAGAAAGGAATACGAATAATATAGAGGTTTCCTTGCATTTAAAACCATTTGAATTTTTAAACAAAAGCTCAGTGTTTGACAAAAACATACTGGAATGCTTTCCAGGTCACTATAGCCTACAAGACTAATAAAATAAGTCTTAACATTTTTTAAACATGGCACACTGTAGATGTTTGAATTGAGATCCCATGGCAAGAAGTAACACTCCACTTGTTTTTTTATATATATATATATATTTATATATTCTATTATATTTATATATATTTTATATCTGCCCTACACAGTTAAACAGTTGAGTTTTATAATTTTTTAATCTATTCAGCTGAACTTAAGGCCTAGCGGGTGTACTTTTAGCTTAGCTTAGCATAAATCATTAAATCAGATTAGACCATTAGCATCTTGAAAATGAGGAGTTTCTATTTTAGTTGGAACTTGTAGGAATTCTGTCTTATTTCTGCATAATTATCAACAAACTATGCTGCCGTTCCATGACTGAAGCAGGCGCAATGATATTATGCAGCGCTGCTACCTAGTTACCTGGGGATTATTTTCGTACGAATTCGTACGAGTTCAGTCGTACGAAATGGTACGATTTTAAAAAGGAGGCGTGGCACCTGACCCCACCCCTAACCCCAACCGTCATTGGGGGATAAGCAAATCGTACTAAATTGTACGAATTAGATCGTACGAATTCATACGAATTAGCCACTAAATGAAAAAGTTACGAATTGCCGTGAGATTGTGTTGGTTACCTGGGGATTATTTTCAGGCACAGCGTAATATCATTGCACTTGCTGTAGCTAAAGTCGCTTGACTATCAGTCAGAATGAGAGTATAGTTCATATTGTTATTGCAACTTTTCCTTTTCTTTCGATCTTAGTAAGCAATGTTACTAAAGTAAATCTTTAAATGGGTTAATTAACAAAATTTTGACATTTTTGAGGCTAATTGTCTAATACATGATTTATGCTAAGCTGAGCTAAGCTAAAAGTGCTCCCACCAAACAGCTGAATAAATTCAAAAAGCCACACCCTAAGTTGTTTTGGAGAAAAGAGCCTACAACTATAAAATATATTAATATATAGATTATATCTAGAGAAATAAGTCTGTAAATTGACAGAAAACTCACTGGCAGTTTATTACGAGGCTTTTGTATCATATTATACAACACCAACCCAGACTATATATCACTTTAAATTATTAAAAATGTTAATAAAAGTCACTTTTTCAACCTTTTTAAGGTTAAAAGTAAATACAATAAAAATATAAATCACAAAATAAGGAAAACTGTTAATATACAGATATTGCTTTTACAATGTAGCCAAAAAAAGTTAACTCAAATATTGTGTCGGACTACTTTTAGCCTTGATTATGGTCTGCATTCATAAAGGCGTTGTTCTGACAACCTTTATGCCATGTCCACAAGTTATTGCTATTAAAAGCTCAGTTTTTGGCCTAAAATGCAGAGGTTAAGCTTAATTGGTGGCCAATTCATAACATAACTAAGCTAAAACTGCTCTCACCAAACGACTGAATGTATTCAACAATGGTAAAACTCAACTGTTTAACTCTAACCTATTTCCAATAAAGTGAATTGTTACCTTTATGTTAGCACACATTAAGTGGCTTCAGAGAAAAGCGCCTACAACAATATGTATTAATATATATGGAAATAATAGAGAAATCTACTGGCAGTAGGTTTTTGTACCGTAAACAACACCAACAGAGACAATTTATCAATTTAAACTGATAACATTTTTTAATAAAAGTCAGTTTTTCATCATTATCAATGATAAAAGTAAAATAAAATCACAAAAAAAACGGAAAACTGTTAATTTTTACATGTTAAATTTGTTAATTTAACATTGTTTTTACAGTGTCGGACTACTTCTAGCCTTGATTATGGTCTACATTAAAAAATGCAAAGTTTTGTCAACCTTTATGCTATGTCCACAAGTTAGTTTCTATTAAAAGCTCATTTTTTAGCTTTAAATGCAGAGGTTAATTGGTGGCCAATTCATAACATAACACGAATATGAATGGTTCATACTAAGCTAAACAAAAACTGCTCCCGGCAAACGGCTGAATGGATTCAACAATGGTAAAATGGCTGTTTACCTAAAGAAGTGATGTGTTAAAGCATGCACACATTAAGTGGCTTTGGAGAAAAGCGCCTTCAAAATGACAAATAACATGTATTTGGGTGTAGGCTAATTGAAGGAATTACCAGAATGACCCGATTGCTCAAAGCAAATGGTGGGGCAAACTGAGGTCTCCATGGATTTTTACTGGAAGCAGCAGCGGCCGCCCATTAAAACCGAGCACAGGCGCAAACGCTCCGGATTGGTGGAGAACTCAACAGCGCACAAACAGACTGAGAGAGAGAAAGATCGCTGAACACCGGCGGATGAGAGAGGAGAAAGAAAGTGAGACAGAGAGGGAGAGAGCAGCAGAGTGAAAGAAAGACACGCAGAAACATGGAATCTAACACGGAGAAAACATTCGCGGACTTTTCTGGATCCTGGAAAATGAAAAGCTCCGAAAACTTCGAGGAGCTTTTGAAAGCGCTCGGTGAGTCTTAAAGAATCGTCATTATATCTAATTTTCAAACCCATTTATTTATGAATTATTCTGCTACTTAAATTTAGGATATTCAAAAAGTTGTCTTACATTATTAGATGAGAAATTGCAAATGATAAAGTTATTTTCATACACTGGAAACCAAATTATTCATTAGATTTAATCATTTCTTAATCGTTGCAAACAGTTTATAAGTGCTGAATTTAAGCAAACAAATTAAATTGTCATGTTCAACTTCATTTGTTTGTTTGAATTAAGCCAATATTTGCAACCACTCACCCAAAAAGTGTTCAGTCAATTCAATGAATTATTTTTTTCTCTGTTTGTTGTGAGTCTTTAAAAAAGAAGAAGTTTGCTTTAGATTGTTAAAAGAAATCTTTTTTTTTTTAAATCTGGGACAAAAAAACTGTTTATTAGCTATATATTTATTTTTAAAAATTAATTAAACTTTAAATTTTTTATCATCTGACAAGAAAATTAAGCCATGAACATCCTGAATGACTGCATGTGATGTCAGGATCTTTATTTATATATAATTTAAAAGAAACATCAATGGGAAGCTGCATGGAAAAAAGTTCTGCTTCATTTCCTCGTGGGATTGTGATTAGACTCACAGACCCTAATACAGGGCCCCTCGGCCAGCCGCTAGGCTCTGCAGACACACCGTCCCTCGACCCCAATTATTCACTCCAGGGCAAGTTCACTTAGATCAAGTTTGCTGGCGCCCCTAATTGAAACAAACGGGACAGTGAGTTCACTGTCTTGGCTTAATAGTTTAAAGGCTTACATTTCCCTGGGTGTTTTATGATTGCATAAATGTGTGACTGCAGTTTAAATTGTAAAGCATTCCAGTGCAGACTGGACACGCTCATTAAGAACAGGAAACTGAGCGAGGGAAAAGTTGCTTTGATTGTTGATCATGATGAATGAGCTTTTAATTTCATGTGTACATGTGTGTTCTACAGGTGTAAATGTCTTTCTTAGGAAGATTGCAGTTGCAGCAGCTTCCAAACCAGCAGTTGAGATCTCACAGCAGGGGGAGAGCCTGTCTGTTCAGACCTCCACCAGCGTTCGGACCACTCATGTGTCCTTCACGGTGGGCGAGTCCTTCAATGAGACTACGGTGGATGGACGACCATGCACAGTACGCCACAAATTCTCTCTATTAATTCAGCATTCAGAACTTTAGAATATTAAATATTTCTATTAGAATTATATAATACATTTTAATATTATAATTTATCTCTGTAAATTGCATTCCTCTGTTAGACTTTGCTGCAATTCTACAGTTATTTACTGCAAAAACACCCAGTAAAATACTACATTCATTTTTTACAGTTTACTACTGTAATATGCACTGGATTGTGGCTCATTTTAAAACTTTTACAGTAGCTATTAAGTATTATAAATTTGCGGTATTCTACTGTAATGAAAGTAATCAAGTACTGCTACTGTAATTGAAGAAAATTATGAGACAGTTGATGAAAATCTATGTTTAGAATTTATTTAATTCAACAGAAAATACTAAAAATAAAGGTTTTGTACTGCTAGTGTAAAACGTAAATAAATTACAGTAAAAGTACTGTAAAAATTGCCACACTGTAAAATTAAAATCTCTTAAAGGGGATTTTACCATAAAAAGAAGTTGTGGTAAAGCTATTTTACAGTAAAATGAAATTGCACTATAGGGCCCTGCTAATGTAAAACATATTTACATGTAAGTTACTATCAGTTGCTGTAACTGGCAACAGTAAATTACCGCAAAAATATAATAAAATGTCTAAAAGTGCACATAAGCATACAGCAGGAATAATGTACTCTCTCTAGCCAAAAAGAGTACTCAAATATTGTGTCGGACCACTTTTAGCCCTGATAACATTTTGCATTCATAAAGACAATGTTTTGATGACCTTAATGCCATGTCACAAAGTTAATTTCTATTCAGAGGTGCATTTTTGGCTTTAAATGCTGAGGTTAAGCTTAATTGATGCTTGATCTAGATAGGTTAATCTTCTGGTTGCTATTCGGGAATAGGGTCATGGGATACGTCTTCAAACATTGTTAAATAAGAACTGAAAAAACATACAAACTACATTGGTTTGGGTAAAAATAAACACATCTGTAGCATATTAATAGTCAGTGTTGGGGTAAAGTGTTGCAATCTTTTGTTAATTCTTTACAAAAATTACTAAATATGTTACTTAGTTAATGTTTTAGGAAATTAATACGTTATGGTACTTTTTTCATGTAAAATGTATTTGGCAGCATGGTGGCTCAGTGGACAGCACTGTCGCCTCACAGCTAGAAGGTCACTGGTTCAAATCCCGGCAGGGCCAGTTGGCATTTGTGTTTTGGCGTGGGTTTCCTCCAAGTCCTCAGTTTCTCCCACAATCCAAAGACGTGCTATAAGTGAATTAAATAAAATAAATTGGCTGTTGTGTATGAGTGTGTATGGGTGTTTCTTTTTAACTGTTTATTTTTATTTTTTATTTTTGTAAAAACATATTCACATTTAAGCTAGAAATACAGTAAGTAGCATGTTTCTACATCATATACAACAACACGTCTGCATTTTATGAAATTTCTCTTAACAAAGGGATAGGAAAACATCATTAAATAAATGTAAAAACAATGTAAATGGCTCGACGTTTTTAAAAGTAACTCGTTATTTTACAAGTTACATAAAAAGTAATCTGATTACATTTTTGCATTACTTGTAATGCGATACCAGACACTATTAATCCCTGCGACAAAGGGCTAGTCTCCTAAAGATTGCTTGAAATAAAATTACAATGTTTATTTTGCTAGCTCACACTGTTCTTCTTAAGTCGAATACTTAATCTGTGCCAGTTTTCTGGTAATCTTTAACATTTCTTCCATGTTAGGAGTGGCAGTCCTTCTGTTGACGTCAACCTGGGTTTCCAAAGCTCTCTTACCATTAATTTGCGATTTAGGGTTGGTTTACGTTTAAGGGAATGATGCGCAAAAGAAAGCCTCGCGCGCTTCTCAATATTTCGTTATATTTCAGTACGTCAACACACTGAAATAAAAGTCTCAGCAACTTCCGGTTCACGCGGACATTAACCATTAGCTTCTAAATACAAACAGTGACTGTTGTGGCCAGATGGTGTATTATTTGCACTATTTAAAAAGTTTCCTATTATAAAAAGAATCATAAAAATGTAGTATTGTTATTATTTTCTTATACTATTCTTTCACTTCTCAAACTTTACCTTTTTATAGACACAAACACTAATAATAACCTATTTAATTTCTCCTCAGAGTTTTCCGAAATGGGAAACGGACTGTAAAATCTCTTGCGAGCAGACGCTACAGAAGGGGGAGGGGCCTGAGACATCATGGACACGAGAACTGACCAATGATGGCCAGATGATTCTCGTAAGTACAACACTGAGTATTACAGCTAAATGAATATATCGATGTTGTTGACTCCTATTCATTATTGACGATGAGTGGATGTTCACATTCATTATAGTCACGCAGCTCACATTTAGGCCAATTACAGTTAACAAGTCCCTCACCGTCTGTCTTGGCAGTTCCTAATTGATATTTTGCAGCTTTCGCTAAGTTAAATAAGTTTTGCATGAATGAAAGACAGCGTTCTTTGAATTCAGAGAACAAGATGTGATCTGGTATGTGAATATTAAACATGTGTTGCGATGTTGAAAGCCTGTCGGATATCAATTGCAAATTGTCTAAGCAGTCGGATGGGAATGTTTATTTTTCAGACTATGAGAGCCGGAGATGTTGTCTGCACTCGGGTGTATGAACGAGATTGAAGGATCTGAGTCCACTCCATCTCAACTCAACTGTCATTTTGTGGAGGAAGAAAAAAATGCTAGTTTATTACTGCACAAATTCCCTGTCCTTTCACCCTTTTGTTTGACATATTAGGTTTGTAAGTCAGAGAAAGAAAGGTGTTTGAAGGATCAGACATTGTGGTAAGACTGTACAATAACAGTACATGAATAATGATGTACTAATATGTAAACCAAACATTGCTCTATTATGAACTAATGGTGAGTTTATGCATATGCTAATCATAAACTAAATTTGACTACAACATGAGTCATTTGTTAGTTCATTTTAAATGTATTATTTAACTCCTTAGTTTAAGCTAAACGCAACTTACATGAACTCATGACCTGCTAATGTATATTTATGCAATGACTTTACTTGAAGGGGCACATTATCATTAACTCATTCTTACTCAGGAACTCCTTTGTTTAAACTGTTCATTTTGGTGTACACAACACTACTGTTCTACTGTTTTTCAATGTAAACACACACTTGAGGGACGTACATGACATTGCGTTTAACACAAGAGTTCATGAGTTATTAAGAATGAGTTAATAATTATGTGCCCCTCCAAGTAAAGTCATGACAGAACTCTTTTTCTGTAGTTAAAGTTAGTTGAAGGGGCACATTATCATTAACTCATTCTTAACTACTCATGAACTCCCCTGTTTAAACTGTTCATTTTGATGTAAACAGAACACTTTTCTATTGTTTCTCAGTGTAAACACACACTTGACGGACATACAAGACTGTTACGTACAAACACAGGAGTTCATAAGTCATAAAGAATGAGTGAATAATTAAGTGCCCCTCCAAGTAAAGTCATGAAAGAATACTTTTTCTGTAGTTAAAGTTAATTGAAGGGGCACATCATCAATAACTCATTATTAACTACTCAAACCTCTTTGTCTTAAACGTTCATTTTGGTGTAGACAGAACACTTTCTATTGTTTCTCAATGTAAACACACACTTGATGGTTGCACATGACCGTAACATTTTAACAGAAGAGTTCACGAGTCCTTAATAAGTTCATGATAATGAACCTCTCCGAGTAAAGTCATGACATAAAGATACATTACCAGGTCATGAGTTCATGTAAGCTACATTTAGCTAAAATTGAAGTGTTGATTAATACATTCATTTACAAACATGAACTAACAATTAATTATAACCTAGGCTCATTTTGATTATGTACCTTGATATACATTTTTGGAGAGCACCAAATACATCCCAGGAGCTAAATTTTTTGCAGTTTTTGTTTTCGCGACTCCACCAGAGGCCGATGTGTACACTTTTTGAGATCTCAAATTTCTCTTGCGAGGGCCATTCGTGCCTGCTGTTCTCAAGAAAATCCCCCAGAGGCCGCTGTCGACTGACTGACTAACCAATCCCCCTATCCACTGTCAGGATTCTGCCACTCTGGTCTTGTTAATCCTTGTTTTAGTGGCAGAATCCAGACACTAGTCCTGTCATGTCTTGTGTTGTGTTGTGCTCGACTTGAGTTTTCACGGGTCGAGCACAGCTTTTGCAATTGTGTTTGTCTCTGTATGAGCGCCATTTGTGAGCACGCTTTGACCGTGCGCGTTCCCCCTTGATGCGGGCGCGTGAGGTCCGGACGTGTTTGCAATTGCGCGCTCTTGCCCGGGTGTTCGTTCTGCAGCGTAGTGTTTCATTCCTAGCGTCTCAGTCTAGTTGGTTTCGGTCGGCGCTGAGATGAAACATGCAAGCTGTGTGTGTGAGTGCACGGTGAGTGTTTTCATTCATCGTGTACTCGTGTCTCGCGTTCAGTCTTTTGCTGGTGTTGTGTTTAGAACGTGGTTCATGTTTACTTGAATGAGTTCTCTCATTGGCTGTGTGTTCTAGTCTCGTTTTATGTGAGCGGATGGCTTGTGTTGTCTCTTTGTGTCATGTGCTCTCCCGTCTATTGTCTAGTCCTACCCTCCTTGTTGACCCATTATTAGTTTATTAGATTCACCTGTTTGTGTTAATTTATTTTTGCTTATATTCTCCTCATGTCTGCTGTCCTGTGCCAGTTCGTCGTCGATTATTTCCCTGTCCTGTTGTGTCCAGCCCTGCCTTTTCCTGCCTGCCCAGTCAAGTTTGTTTTTTGCCTTTTAATTAATGTTTTCCCCCTCTGGTTAGTTTGTTTTGCCTCTTCTTGTTTTATTCTTATTTTACAATAAAGGATTTTGTCTGCAATTGGGTCCTCGCTCCTTTTCCCCAACCTCCGACCGTGACACCCACCCCCTTCCATAAACGATAGTGTTTTCAAAAGCACCGATTGACCCACATCCCTAAGCCCAACCGACATTGTTTTCAAAAGCAACCCAGAAGCCCTAGCCCTCACCGCAGCTTGATTTTTACCACATTTTCAGATTTTACCACATTCTCACCCAGTTATTTACTTGTTTGTTCACCAAATTCGAACCCTATCATTACGGTCAACTTCGCTCTGCTTCTCAAATCCTCCGACGTACATGGCGAGCCCCTGGAAAGCCGTCCACATGGAGGTAAGCAGTCAGCTGAATAGCACAAAAAGGAATGACATCATACCGCCCTGTAGCATTCGTTTTGAAAACGAAATGCAGACATACGCTCCTTTGATCTCGTGATTTCCAGAAATGTATATAGGGCTATGTTTTCAGAATGAGCCTAAGGTAGCTGTTATTCATTCATGAACTCAAAAGTTAGTTCATAATTAGCGCATGTCTTAATTCATTATTAGTTCTAAATGAAGTAATGTTTATTACATATTAGTATATAATTATTCATGTACTGTTATTGTACAGTGTTTCCCCAGTCGTACTTGTTTAAAGATGGAAGAATTTTGACGCATTATCTGAAAATTGTATTTATTGTTATTGTTTGTGCCTTTAATGTTGCAGTTTCATGTATATACCACAATGTGGCTTATCGATCAGAAATGTTTTTGGCAATAAAACTTTACACATGTAAACCCCTTATGATTGCTTTATTGTTATCATGTCTCCTGGATGTATAAATCTCTTTGACGTTGACCTCGGCTGCTCTTTTCCACTTAATGTTATGCCTCATTCCTTCACTTCAGAATGCTCTGTTCTCTCTTTCTGTCTCCCGATCCAACCACTTGCAGGTTCGAACAACACTATAAATTTGTATTTCATGAGAGCACATCAATTGGGCGATTCCCTGGCAAGGGTGATCAGGGGAAAGAGTATGGAAAGACTGAGCAAATGTTAGAAAAGAAAATAATTTCACATTTTTACGGTTACATTCCCACTGCACTTTCTCCCATCTGCTGCTAGTTATCTCATGAGGTCAGAGAGAATGTCTGTCATTCCTCATTCTCTTTCTTTTTGTCTTTCTACAGCCAGATCCTCAATCCAAACTTGCTTTTTAAAAAGGAAACCTAGGACACGCATCTAAACGTTGAACAAGTAATCAATGCAGAAAAGTTGAGGATTAAAATGCAAAGTAAAATGCTTTCTTCTACTCCTTCTGTCTTTCTCTTTGCCTTGGACAGAATTTATTCAGCGGTGGTGTGTTTTTTCAGTCTGCTGCCAATGATGAATTTTCCAGGTTTCCAGACAACAGAGCTCACAGTAGACTTATTCAGTGCACTTTTCATTTGAGTTCAAACGATTCTCAGTGGTCCTGTTAAGAGGTTTTTGCTCATATAACCTGTGAGCTCTGAAAGTGTGCATGTGCTGCTGTGTACAGAGGTTGACATTGAGTTTACATGCTTTTTGGAGGAGGTTGAGAAAGTTCATAAACTCTGCGTAATGATATTACAGACCATGACAACATTTTTGTGGTGTTTGTAAAAGCAAGAATCATTTACCACATATCAGCAACCCCACAAACATCCCTTAGAACACCCTTAAACCACCTACGAACCCTTTGTAACTAACCAGAAAACATTAAAATCCTCCAGCAATATTTATGAACACCCAAAACTATCTAGAAAAGACATAAAAACCACACCTACACCATTAATGACTATCTTGTAATGCTCTAGAAATCATCAAAGAGACATTTACAACTACAAACAACTAATCCAAAACACACTAAAGCCACCTAGAACCTCTTTGTAACTTATCAGAAAACATTACAATCCTCCAGCAATATTTAAGAATGCCCCAAAAACAATCTAGAAAAACAACCACACCTACACCTTTAATGACCAAAGAAGCCGATTGCTACAAACCATTTGAGTTAAAAAAAACTAATCTATATGAGTACTGTGAACTTACTCCATTTAGGTTGAAGTAATGAGGTATTTACAGGTTTTCTCAGTTGCTTTGGTGCGTTTCTCACAACACCCAGTGCATTTCTGCACAACAGTTAATGCATTTCTCAAAACAATTAGTGCAAAACCTAGCTGATAACCTGCAAAAGCGCGTCAAATGCTCAAAATGGATAGTTCATTCCTCAAAAGCAAGTATTCATGTCAATCAAAGAGTCAGTATCATCAAAATGAAAAGTGCTGACACCATTGTTTATGAACAAGATAGTCAAATGGCTTAGTCATCTTTTCATTATGAGTTTACTCTGGACATTTTTCAATGCAAAAAAAGTCAGATTTTTGGTGACACTTCCTGAAAATGCTCAAGACAGCACTGTATACTATTTGCACAGCCATATGAAAACTACAGTAAAGTTGGACATCACTGCATTAACTGAGTTATCAGAGTACAAGACACTAAATATGTGTGTTTCACATTTTTCCTGCATTTGCTCTTTACAATCCTAATTTATTTACAGCATTGTGCAAAAGATTAAACACACCCTTATTTACAACAAACATAAACTCCCTTCTGGGAGCTGTGCACAACTGTAAACAATATTGCTGTACATATTGGAACTGAACCTACAACACACACAGTTCTGTAAATCATTCATCAAATTGTTCAATTTTAAAGACATTTTCAGGAAAATAAAGTTTAATTATTTTTTTAATAAAGTTTGTTTGACCGATTTTGACATCTAGTTCAACAGTTTTGTTTGTAATGACTCAAGTAATGAAATGAGGACTATTAGTTTTATATATAATGACTATTCAGCATTTACAAGTTTAGTTAATTTTGACTGACATGACATGACAAATGATAATGTTATAAACAGCAGAGAGTTGTATGAAAGCAATTGATGCATGTCCAAAAGCATTTGCTGAAAGGAATGAAAAACTGCTACTAGGATGTGCACAAATGACTAATTGTTTTGAGAAATGCATGACCTGTTGTGCAAATGTAAATAGTGTTGTGAGAAATGCACCAAAGCGACTGAGAAAAACTGTAACAACTACAAACAACTAATCCAAAACACACTAAAGCCACCTAGAACCTCTTTGTAACTTATCAGAAAACATTACAATCTTCCAGCAATATTTAAGAATGCCCCAAAAACAATCTAGAAAAAAAACATAGCAACCACACCTACACCTTTAATGACCAAAGAAACCAATTGCTACAAACCATTTGAGTTAAAAAACTAATCTATATGAGTACTGTGAACTTACTCCATTTAGGTTGAAGTAATGAGGTATTTAATTAACTCATTACCTTCAACACTGAGCTCAAAACTCTTTTCAAATGAGTAGATTTAACTTTCAGGCAATTTTGAGTTAACCACTTATTTCATTTGATAAAGTTGACTGCTGGATTTTAAAGTGTAGCTATCATATTAGATATGACAAATATATGTGGAAATGTAGTCAATGCACATTTATTCAATTCAATTTAATTCAGCTTTATTTGTATAGCGCTTTTACAATGTAGATTGTGTCAAAGCAGCTTCACATAAATGGTCATAGCAATAGTGTAGTTCAGTTTTTAGTGTTTAAGTTCAGTTCAGTTCAGTTTAGCTCAGTTCAGTGTGATTTAATCATTACTGAGAGTTCAAACACTGAAGAGCAAATTCATCGTATGCGTAGCTCTACCAATCCTGAACCATGCGAGGCAGTGGCAACAGCGGAGAGGGAAAAAAAACTTCACCTGATGGGAGTGAAGAAAAAAAACCTTGAGAGAAACCAGACTCAGTTGGGCACGACCATTTTAATTTCTCCGCTGGTCAAAAGTCTTGTGCAGAGCTTCAGTCACCGCGGTGGAGGCTGGAAGATGGCCTCAGCGAAGACTCGTCTGTCCCTGGAGCGTCGCTGGAATCAGACTCATGTTCTCCACTCCCCCATGACCATCAGCGCAGCAGCAGCTCAGGATATGGCCTGGTCCCGGATATGGAAACCTTGGGATCATCTCGTCGCTGGTCTTGGATCCAATCAGTGACTCCGCATAATCTGAGGACTTCGGGATGAGTACCCTCAGGTGAAATAGAGAATAAAGAGAATAATTAGCGTAGCTGCTGTTCATAGTGTATATAAGCAAGATGAAGAAGCCTGTGTGGATGAATACATTTGTGTGAGACATGTTGCTCAGCATTAACTTTTACGCATTCCATGTGTCTGTTTGGGCTTCTTGACTCAATTTACAATTCCGCGATTGTGCCAAAATGCTTTCAGACTTGCACATATTATTCATATCCGCTGTGACGCCTGGTGTGTTCACCGCTCACCTCGTTAACAAGATTAATAATGCAAAAACTCTAGAACCGGGTCATCAAGTCGTCATTATGTATTTAGTTTTTGCCTCATGTGGCTTAAGGCCGTTGTGGTGGTGGTATGCACCAAATGAGGCCCAGATCCTGATTTCTGGCCCTCTTTAATTGACACCATACTGTTGCGAAACAGGGGCAAAACCCACAAACCCACACGCGGTCCACTGAAGCTCCCTCCATCCCTGCTAGTTCCCTTGGCAACTCACCAGTGTGGGCTTCATGTCAGCTCATTCCACAGGCGATGATGTCATGGGGCCACGCTTTGCTTGATTGGCTGAGGAATGTTGCGGTTTCAAAGGAGAGCAGAAGGACACGCCCATTCAGAGAAGAGAAGGAGAAGATGGTTTAGGGAATTAGCACTGTCACTTTAGTATAACCTCCTTCTGAACTCAGAAATAAAGAGCATATTGTTTCTCCAGTAAGTTCGCAGTCCTGTTTACCACCACACTGTCATGCTCACTGATAAATGCACTGTACTTTACTGGAAGCTTGCACACCAAGATCAGACATTCAAATAATTTAATCCAGGAGTCTTTCTGTCTCAAAGCAAACTGGGGGATTTTTAAATTTCTATTCAGTGTTTAACATCCACATCTGGTCAAGTTAGAGTGCTGCTTTGTTTTTGGAGCATGTCATATAGCTACCTCCAACAGAAGAAGATCTACGATCAGAGATAGCAACATCCACACACAGTGAGATTAAGCATTTATAAATTGATCTGAATGTGTAGCCTATATGGAGCAAATTAAACAGGTTTATGAGAAGATACACAGGAGGGTCAATGTGTGTGGGTCTGGGTGAGGGGTTGTTTGTGTTTTGAGGTATCATATGACTGACTCTCTGCCCTCCTGTCATCCATGTGAACTCACATGACTTGAGAATTTCAAGCCTTCAGCAATCTTCCCTCTGTGACAACTTGCCCCGTTGCCCCATTTATGTTTCACTGAGAAAGTGACGTCGTTTACGTTTTCGAGGAAACAGTGACGACCAGTGGTTTAAAGGGGTACTGGAAACACTAGATAGATAGATAGATAGATAGATAGATAGATAGATAGATAGATAGATAGATAGAATTACAGACAGACAGACAGACAGACAGACAGACAGACAGACAGACAGACAGACAGACAGACAGACGGACAGATTGATTGTTTTTCTTTTCAAAAACATTTCCCCTTCAGCAACATGATAGCGCTTTCTCATTGGCTCTTCCCCGTCATGTGACACGAGTATTTCCCTGGCGCTATTCTGCCAGGTTGCCATGTCGGCCCATTCACTATAAGCATTGTTGGGAATGCTTTTCACAGAGTCACTTTTAAATACAGACACTTGCATTCAACGATTATAACAATTATATTATTTCTAGTAAATATTTACATTTTACATGGTTTAAAAAACGAAATAAACACCAATTAACTGTTCTAGAACGAATCAATTATCGCTTTGTTTTTTTATATTAATTTGCTTGATCTTTTTACGCAACATGGCAACACCGCTGTCATGTGATATGAACACATTTCCTGTACAGCAGCGATACACAAGCGCTGTCAGAGTAAAATCGAAACAAAACCGTGTCGCTTGTCAAATTTAACAAAGGGAAATACATAAACAGTTGATAATACCAAAGAAGACTGAAAACCACTGTAAAAAAGGGACAGTATGTGCTAACGTTACTGATTTGAAACGGACACCTGACGTCTCGCTGTAATGTTGGTCGGTTAGCTAGTTAGTGTTAACCGGTTGCGGCGTGATTTGTTTTGCTTGAATTGTGTTATAATAACTAGGAACTTACCGAACTGGATTGAGGTTTACCGGTAATTATCCGCTAAACAACACTGTTTCGCTTTGTATCTGGTCATCGCCTTTGAGTTAAACCTGTTTTTACATCTTGGCGAGATCTAAACCAGCACCAAGATGTCAAAATACACAACTTTTCCCGATTCGTCTGATGATCATAACCCATTTCAGGTAATGTTAATATATGCTGTTTTGGACTTTGTATGTGTATATTAGGGAACTGTGTGCGTTTCATTTGTGGCCTTATTTGTGAGGTGCCGTGGCTCTTGTGATGCTGTCATAAGACTGGACGCTTATTAGATGTCAGGCCATTCATACTGGGATAAGAGAATGTTCTTAAATGGTTGATCTCTTTTAATGCTTTTCATTCTGATCTAAATTTGACTAACCGGTTTCTGATGACTTGTTGCTCAAAGTGTAGCTGAATTAGATCAGTCAACCAATGAAATGAAAAGTTTCAGTTAAAAATATTATATTGTACGCCATGTGAAAATAGACCAAGTCTACTGGTACCAGTATCAATTTAATAAGTACTAGTATCTATTAAAACTATACTAGTATTCAATGTACTAGTGTTTATTTAATAGGTACTAGTATATATTAAGTACTTTATCAAATAAATAGGTACTAGTACAGGGGTGGCCAACCCTGTTCCTGGAGAGCCACCTTCTGCAGATTTCAGTTGCTACCCATATCAAACACACCTGCCTGTAATTATCACGTGGTGTTCACGTCCTAATTAATTGGTTCAGGTGTGTTTGATATGGGTAGCAACTGAAATCTGCATGAAGGTGGCTCTTCAGGAACAGGGTTGGCCACCCCTGTACTAGTATCTAAATAATAATTACTACAACCTAATGATTAACTACTAGTACATAAAAGTATGTACTAGTCCTGGAACATGTACTAATCAAAATAGAGGTAAAGTTAGTTTTATATTTGGATATTCAGATATTCTCCTTAATAATATAATTTCAGAAAAGTATTATTTACAAATTCTAAAATAGGGAAATCATATTAGCAGCTAATGACTGTCAAAGTACAACATTGTTCACAGTGAATTAGATATTGTTAATGTTGTTTAGAAGTCAGAATTGCATGCTAATTCCAATCGAATATTCAAGGTAACATGGTAAACTTCTAAATGAACGAATGTGCAAATATAAAACCAATTTTACCTCTATCTAGTCAAAATTGAATAGTTGATATCTCAATGATAGATCCCTATAGAAATTAAAGAAAAAAATTGAAACTAGCCATTTTATAGGTACTAGTATATAAAGAATAAGTACTAGTATCTATTTACTAGGTACTAGTATCTAATGAATGAGTACTAGTATCTAATAAAAAATAACTAGCTATTTAATAGGTACTAGTATCTAATGAATAAGTACTAGTACCTATTAAATAGATACTAGTCTAATGAGTGAGTACTAGTATCTAATAAAAAGTAACTAGTGTCTAATAAGTAAGCACTAGTATGTTTTAAAAAAAAGCACTAGTATCTAAAGAATAGGCACTGGTGTTTAAACACTTATCTAAAATGCTCTACTAGTATCTAAAAAATAAGAACTAGTAACATGAAAATTGATACTAGTATGGGTTATCGATTAAATATTACAACAGTTTGCCATACCAAGTCTGTATTAGTTAAGATTAGTGAAGAAAAACATGTAATAATATAAAAAGTTAAGAATTTAATTATTGGCAAAATAACAAATGTGTTGTAAAATGTGTTAAACTAATTAATATCAATACTATTATAGTAATAGTATTATCATTAATTAATTAATTATGTAAAGATCAGTATACATTTAAAAACATGTATTTTTTGCAAGCATGATTGCAAATTATTTTTAATGCATTTAGCCTGATTTTAGACTTCGTAATTGTTTAAAGGGTCACATAATACACCATGTTTTCTTCCCAGGAAGTTTAAACAGTATTTTAAAGGGATAGTTTACCCAAGTGGTTGTGAACCTTTATGAATTTCTGTTTTCTGTTGAAGACAAAACAAGATATTTGGAAGAATGTTGGAAAAACCAGCCATTGACATTCATAGTAAAGGGTCAAAGCTATGGACATTAATGGCTGTTTTTCCATCAGCATTCTTCAAATTATCTTCTTTTGTGCTCAACAGAAGTTTGAATTTCTTTCTTAAGTTTTTAAGAAAGCCACTTAAACAGGTTTGGAACCAGTTATTATGTAAATTATTATATTTGGGTGATCTGTTCCTTTAAGTAACACAACCTTTTAAACTTATAAGAGAGGCATATAATTTATTAATATAATAATTAATATTATTGAGGTTATTTTGGACCTGGATTTGTTTAAAGTACCTTTAAGTGCCTTTGAAAGTGTATCATTGCCTAAACCATAGCTTTTTATTCATATTAAACAATTTCAAGACTGAATTTTGTTGATAAATTCATATATTTATCTGTTAACATTAGCTTTTTTAAATCTGAAAGTGAATGTTAATGCAAATATAATTTAATTTATAACTTGCTTTTTTTGAAGACTGAACTGTTTTTGAGAAATAACAAATTAAACACTTTTATTCTATTAATTTCAGGGGTGGATACTTACAGTAGTTTAAAAAAAGAAAGAAATGTGTACAATATTCTCAGTGAAAGTTTGTGAGCTTACATTCTCAGATCCACCATGAGCCTGGCTTAACAAATATTATTTCTTTGTGCATCTTCAGCCCAGATATTCAATCACTATCCTCCATGTTCTGCCAATGAGCTGAAAGCTGTGTTTCCTCTATATTTGCAGGATCCATCAGTGACTCAGCACAGCAGCAACACTGGCTATGCCACGCTGGACCTCTACAACCCATTCGACAACAACCAAACAGCGGTAAATGCTCCCATTCTAATCAACACCAGTATCCAGCGGACTGTGTTTACATAGAAGCAGCGTACACTCCAAATATTATTTTTGCTGCTTTTTCAAACTACTTGTATGAAATGAGCTGAAACAACATAATTCTTCAGATTTGTTTGAGACAACTTCATTGTTTTCTGTTCAATCCAATTAAATTTGTAAAAACTGTTAACTTAATTGATTTTTGTTGGGACAAGATGAATAAATCATGTGTAACCCTACTTTTTGACAGTGTAGTCTTTAAAGCAGTATTTCTCAACCATGTTCTTGGGGGACCACCAGTTTTGCACATTTCCATGTCTCCTTAACCAAAAACACCTGATTTAGATCATCAGCTCATTAGCAGAGACTGAACGACCTGTAATTGGAGTAACAGACAAAGGTGACATCCAAAACATGCAGTGTTGGCAGTCCTCTTAGAACGTGGTTGAGAAACACTACTTTAAACTGGCAGTTCAGCCAAAAATTCCTTTTTATTTACACTTAAAGGTTCAGTGAAGTTCTTGGAAATGTGCATTTTCTTAAACGGAGGGCGGGACATATAGCAGCCCCTCCCCTTTAAAAACAGCCAATAGAGATTTGTTTTTAATGCAGAGTGGTTTAGCTCAAGCACATCAAATGAAAAGCAAATGAGAAGCATCTTGAAGGGGGCAGGATATGCTAGATACTATAAAGCAGGGATGTCAAACTCAATTCCTGGAGGGCCGCAGCTCTGCACAGTTTAGTTCCACTTCCAACCCTGCTTCAACAAACTTACTGGTAGGTTTCAAACAAGCCTGAAGGAGTCAATTGCTTTGATCAGGTGTGTTAAATTAGGGTTGGAACTAAACTGTGCAGGGCTGCGGCCCTCCAGGAATTGAATTCGACATCCCTGCTATAAAGTATTTGATTGGTCAGAAGATTTGATGATGTGATATAAACATTATATATAAACATAAACATTTAGCCGGAAGTTTGTATAGTTTATATAAGGTTTATATATGAAAAATATGAATTTTGTCACTGATTTTGCAGCACACTAGCTTTTAGAATTCCTTAAACCGTACTTAAAATTTATCTAAAAAACTTTATTTTCATTTCACAGAACTTTTAAGTGGTTCTAAATTTATTTATTTCTTCTGTTGAACACAAAGCGAGAGATTTTGAAGATACCGGCAGTCTTTGACTTCCATATTAGGAACAAAAAGCATACTATGAAAGTCAATGGCTTCTGCTTTATAACATTATTCAAAACATATTTATTTGTGTTCAACAGAAGAAAGAAACTCAAACAGGTTTGGAACAAGCGCATGATGACCGATTTTTCAATTTTGAGTCAATAACCCCTTTAATTATTAATACGTCACATGATGGGAGTACAATAGATTGCAAGAACTTTCAATTCTGTTTTAAATTTAGTTACCTGTGCAGGATAAAATGGTCCTGTCAGAACCCTTTGTCATTGTGTTTTGTAATTATTACTTTAGTAAATGATTACTATTGTGTTTATTACTTACTTGTGCTTATTATTTACACTTGTATTAAGTTGATAATTACAGTTTTTTGCTTGTTGTTTTGGGTAATGAAGCCTCCACCTCCCTATGAAGCCACATCTCCTGCTGCGCCCCCTGCCCAAACGCCTCCCAGCAGGACCACGCCAACTGAACCCAGGAACTATGGATCCTACGGGTCACAGGTGCTGTTTGATTTGATACTACTTATTACTTTTATGGATTAAAATATAATTTCCATTCCAAAAAATTACTATATTAAAGCCAATAATTCCCTCGTCAACTCTTATAAAGCACTGTTTTATTATCTGTTAGATTTAAACTAATCATTAGTTTAATGCGATTATTCAGTGTTAAGTGTGTAATTAAGCTGATTTAACAGTCACATATGTTTAATGCTTGGATAATTGTGTTTTAAAATATATCGTAAAAAAAATGAAAAATATTTTGTTTCCAAAGAGAGAAATTAATTCTTTTTTTTCAGCAAGAGTGCATTAAATTAATAAAATGTGGCAGTAGAAAGATTTCTAGTTTTACAAAATAACAAACGCTGCACTTTGTATTAATCAAAGTATATTATGGTTTAATAACATCATTATTAAGCAGTAACAACTGTTATCAACATTGATGCCAAGAAGAAATCAACACTAAATCGGCATATTTTAAGGGTTTCTGAAAGATGCAAACTGATGCTGAAATTTTGCTTTGTCAAAATAAGAATACATTCGAATATGAAATACATTTAAATACAAAAAATATATATATTTTAATAAATTGTACTCTTATTTCACAATATAATCTTTGAAAACAAAATCTTTCTGACTCCAGCCTTTTGAATGGTTAAAAAGTATTTTTAAACTCTTACTATTTTGCTTTTCTCTAAAACAATATAGTAATCATGCACCAGTAGTCTAAAAATAAAACAAATCAAATCAAACAAAATTATCCAAGTCAAAAAAAAAGATAAAATAATTTAAATATTTAATTATTATATAATATTTTTACGATATATTTTAAAACACAATTATCCAAGCATTAAACATATGTGACTGTTAAATCAGCTTAATTACACAATTAACACTAAATAATCGCATTAAACTAATGATTAGTCTAAATCTAACAGATAATAAAACAGTGCATGTGAAAAAGCATGTTCTGAAATATGTTCTAAAATTATATGTATTCTATAAAATATACATTCTTTCTATATGTTCTTTATATAATTATTTTTATTATATTATATTTTATATATAATATAATAGAATATAGTGTATAATTTCATTCAATACAGTATAATCCATATAATATAGCGTATAATAAATATTACAGTGCATAATAATGTTGTATAATATTCAACTGCTTATAAAGCTAAAAGTTTAAACGAAAAAGTTATTTGTTTTCACCATTTAACACACTATCTACATTTATCACAGCAATCTAATATTATTAGTGCCCATTTTATGCTTATTAAAGTAATAGCGACAGGAAAGTACTAGGCATTTCATGACTTATTAACTGGCCTCTCTCTGTTTCAGTCTGCAGTAAATGCCACCACAGCAGATCTGTTGAAGAAGCAGGAGGAGCTGGAAAGAAAAGCACAGGAGCTGGAGAGAAGAGAAAGAGAGCTGAATGCTCATGCACTTGGATCTGGAGCCTGTGAGTGAGGGAATCAGAGAAAATAGCTTGATATTATTGAGATAATTAATGTAATTATATGTAAAGGAAATGATTTGACTTTTACTGCTGGCATTGTGTATATATGTGATGGCAGTTTTCAGTTTGTTTTGCTTTTAATAATCCTTGTAATGCTTAAAATGACTCAAAATTTTAAAACTCACATTGGGACGACTTAACATCCAGCCACAATTTCGTAAAATTGTGAAAATTTCTTCATAAATTGCGCTTATCTACATGCATTATGGAAGTCTTTTGAACAAAAAAAAACTTTCAGCTGCTGAAAAAGTGAAGATCTCTCAGCTCAATTTGCACATTTTGTCATATTTAATTCTACATTTAATTAAGCAGCCACAACAATCAACACAGAAAATGATATTAGCAAGCAGTGTGTTTAAAAACCACAGGTTTCAATGTAATCAAGATTAGTGGAACATGCTATGCTAACTCATTTAAATTTGTCAGCTTGAGAAAGCATTGCTTTAATGTTTAAAAGAGCTTTATAATCTAAACATTCAAACTTATAAAGTCGTAAGAACGTTTCTAACATGTTTAGGCATGTTGGCTGACACATTTATGTGTATAAAAACACAGCTAGCATGAGGATAGGATGTTTTACCACTGTCAAGGATGTGAAACTTACATGTTATCATATTCCTAGGCTGGCTAATGGGTTTTAGCATGCTGCTAATCTAAACTACCACGTTATTAAAATGTTTTAGGATGTTTTACCTGTTAGCTCATTTAAACACTAGCTAGCATGTTTCTGGCAATCTTATCCCACATTGGCAGTATGTGTTAGCATGAACATCTTTATCACTTTGTTAGCATTATTAGCTTGTTATTACATGTACATGTATTAGCTTGTTTGAATTTTTTATGTATTATATTATGCTGCTAGCTACGTGTATTTAAATGTGTTTGCACGGATTAGCATATTTATTGTCTTTTGTTTAACATGTTGTTACTGTGAATTAGCCCTGATATGCTTTTAAAATGTTGCTAGCATATATGTTGACATACTTCTTCCATATTGTTAACATTAGCACATTGTTAGCATAAATTACCACTTTAACATATCCTTAATAAAAGTTAGCATGTCTCTAGCATGTTTTTGACATTTTGCTATTAGCATACATTAGCATTTTATCGCACACAGTTTAACATGAATTGAAGTCATGTTGCTTGCATGTTTAGGGATATGCTAGCATGAGTCAACACTTTTCCAGTATGAATTTGTATGCTGTTACCATGTCTTTAGCATGCTCAGAATGTTGTTAGCATCAATTAGCCAGGGTTGACACACAGATATAATGTTAAACACTTGTCTCAGATATTTTTATTGTATATTTATGTATGAGTATGAACATCTTTAACATTATTAGTTTGGTGTTACATGTCAGCTTGTTTTAACTTTTTTCATGTTTTTATCATGTTGCTAGCTACATGTTTTTACATTTAACTGTGTTAGCATGGATTAGCATATTTATCTACTTTAGTTTAACATGTTGTTTCTGTGAATTAGCCCTGATATGCTTTTAAAATGTTGCTAGCATACATTTGCATTATGTTGACAATATTATTACATGCATGTTGTTAACATCACGACATTGTTAGTATAAATTACCATGTTTAACACATTGTCAGCACGAGTTGGCATGTCTCTAGCATGTTTTTGACATTTTGCTATTAGCATACATTAGCATTTTAGCACACACAGTTTAACATGAATTGAAGTCATATTGCTGGCATGTTTAGGGACACACTAGCATGACTCAACACTTTTCTAGTATGAATTTGCATGCTATTACTGTGTCTTTATGTTGCTAGCATCAATTAGCCAGTTTTGACACAGACAACATGCTTAACACTTGTTTCTGACATTTTAGTACATGTTTGGCTTTTGATAACTTGTTAAAAAATGTTGGTAGCATGAATTGTTGTTAGTATATTGTTTCCATAATTACTACAAAGCTAGCATGAATTAGCAAGTTGCTGGTATGTTTGAGCGCATTGCTAGAATTTACATGCTATTAACGTTTTATAATCATAACTAGTTTTAACACTTTGCTGGCATATTTCTGTTCATATTGTTGGATCCTGTTAAAGAATCCACTTTAGGGAAAGACAGATAGACATAACCCTGCTGAAAAATCCAGCTTAAACCAGCCTTGGCTGGTTGGCTGGTTTTAGCTGGTTGACCAGCCTGGTTTTAGAGGGGTTTTGGCCATATCCAAGCTGGAAAATGACAAGCTAAATCCAGCTAAAACCAACTTGACCAGCCTGGTTTAAGCTAGACATAGCGAGTATTAACTGGGCTTCCACCCTGGCTAGGCTGGTCAAGCTGGTTTTAGCTGGTCATCTCCCAGCCTGACCAGCTAAAACCAGGCTGGAAATGGCTGGAAACCAGCCTGGAAATGGCCAAAACCCCTCTAAAACCAGCCTGGTCGACCAGCTAAAACCAGCCAACCAGCCTAGTCTGGTTTAAGCTGTTTTTTTAGTAGGGAAAGCAAGCATATTTTCAGAACCGGAGTAATTATTTGGATGGGTTTCTGAAATTGCTGGTCAGGGTTATGATGAAGGCGCAGAGATGGATGAGAACTGAATGAGAGAGGAGGGGATGAAGAAACGGGATAGTTAAAAAGATGACAGTGATGGATGAGTGGTATTTTCAAAAGAGTGTGATTTAGACCTTGGCAGTAATGAACAGGACATTAATAGAGTGATGTTAGCGCGTATGATTGATGAATGGGGAAATTAATCTCTTTCTGTGTTCCTCTCCCTCAGCACGTCAGAATAATTGGCCCCCATTGCCCTCCTTCTGCCCGGTGGGACCGTGCTTCTATCAGGACATTAATCTGGAGATTAGCCAAAGCTTCCAGCGCACCGTCACCACCATGTACTACTACTGGATGTGTAAGTTTGTTTCAGTTTAGCACGTATTGTCATTTGCAGTGTATGGATGGCTTTGGTTTTTGTTTTTTTTCTCTCCAGCATTTTAGCCAAGACTTTAGTCATGAATGTATCTTCTGTTCTTTTAGATTGATAGTTTTTATTGTGGTGATTGACCAATATATTGGACAAACTGATTATTCAGGCAGTATTTGACCATTTATAAAGCACATTTCATACACAATAGTATTTAAAGTGCTTTACATAAACAGGAATAGGAACAAGTATAAGAAAAATGTAATTATTTAAAAACTGATTAAAATGTGTGAAGAACAGGTTTTAAAGGTATGTAAAAGAAAAGAAAGACATAATAGTGTGATCTGTCAGATGTAGCACAGTGCTCATTCAGTAAAGGCGCAGCTAAACAGATGTGTTTCCAGTCTTGATTTGCATGTGCCTAATGTTGGAGCACATCTGATCATTTCTGGAAGCTGATTCCAGCAGCTAAAAGTAGATTCACCCTGTTTTGACTGAACTCTTGGAATTTCTCATTTACATGATCCTAATGATCTGAGTGATCTGTTAGGTTTGTATTCAGTGAGCATATCTGTAATGTATTGAGGTACTAGGCCATTTAGTGATTTATAGACAAGTAATAGTACTAAGTAATAGTGTAAAGGAGCCTGAGGTTTGATGTGCTCTGATTTTCTGGTTTTGGTCAGAACTGTCAGAACCAGTCAGATATGTCTAACTGTCTTTTAGGGAAGGTCAGTGAGGAGGCTGTTACGGTAATCTATTCTGCTGGTGATAAAAGCATGAGTTTCATCCTGGAAATAAATAATAAATAATCTAACTCTTGCAATGTTTTTGAGATGATTTAGTTACTTCTTCACAGATAGTAATTCATAGATACTATTTTAACTGTTACTGTTGTCTCTTGACTGAGACAAACCATTTAATTTTACTTTCCTGTGTTTAAAATGACTTCTAATAGATGTAAGTTTTATTAATATAGTTCATTAATAGATTACAAAAGTCTTCACCTGACTAGGTGCAATAGCTATCAAATAATAAGTTGTAAGAACTCTTGTTCTGTTTTAGGACATTTAATCCATAATTATTATTCTAGCGTTGGGGAATTATTGATGTTTTACTAATAGCTTGTTCCTTTTCGTTCTCGATCTAAAATTGAGTTAAAGTTTTAGCCTTTTTGGTGTACTTTATTCATATTGATGTCATTTGTTGTGGTTATTTTTATACACCTTGTTAGATTAGTTGAAATAAGATTTGGCTAGGTTTTTTCACTCACCATTTATTATATTTTATTGAACAGTAATGATTTTTAGTTGTGTTATTTTCATTTTAGTTAACTTAAACTACTAGGGCTGTGTGATTTGGGGAAAATATCTAATTGTGATTTTTCCGACAGATATTGCGATTACTATTTGATTTGCGATTTATTTTTGTGGTCAAGCCTCAGGTCAATAATCTGTAAGCCGTGGCAACAATTTTGCAACTGCTCTTAAAAATTTCCTGTTATTGTTTGGTGTCTGTGATTTTGAAACCAAAATATTCCCATATTACCTATGTCCTGTTTTTCTTTGATATTACTGTCTATTAATGCTTCGGAAGCAGCAGACGCCATTATCCCAATTGTCCGCCCTTTCCTTTTTGTTGTTTTGTTTTTTATTGTGGGCTTTCCGCATAGTTTGGTTGCGCATTTCTGATTGGACAGAATGAAAGTGTGCTCACTTAATTGGCTAGTAAGGCTATCACACAAAGATGGCAGCCACACATTTGCTCTAGGCAGGGAAAATTAAATAATACGTATATATTTCATACCACAGCCTTTTGGGATTAGCTAATAGCTAATCGCAATGTTTCAAATTGTGATTCAATTTTGATTTATCCCACAGCCCCAATAGCTACTCTTAATTGTAAAGTGCATTGTTGGGTCATTGTTATTTTTTATGATCTTCTTCATGCTAAAATGTGTTATCTGATTGATTTAAATAATTTTTTATATTCCTTAGTATTTTTTTTATTTTGTATTTTTTTAAACACATTGACAAGCTACTTATGCTATTTATTTGACAAATATGCTATGTAAAGTAACGTTTATCAGTAATAGTAGTTTAATGTTCATATGGCAGGTAAATAAATAAATACTGATCCAAATATTTAAACACTTGCTTTAGTTTCATCATGCTTGTCAAGTTTATTGGTCAACCACTACATGAGCGTGTGCTTTTACTTCCCAGTCTTCAGTTTTCCTTTGTTCTTATCTTTCTCTCCTCTTTTCCCCAATTCTCTCGTCTTTCTCATCTTGTAGTCACAGCATGCACTCTGCTCATTAACCTCATCTCCTGTTTGGCTGTCTTCTGTGTGGATCCCAATAATGGAGTGGGCTTTGGTCTTGCCATTCTCTGGTTTCTCCTCTTCACCCCCTGCTCCTTCGTCTGTTGGTACAGGCCTGTGTACAAAGCCTTCAGGTACGTACCAACATAGTCTCTTGCTGAGAGTGAAACCTAATTCTTTTTTTCAAAACAGTTGTTATAAAAGTAGTAAGTGCATTTAAAAACAATAAAGGACCTGATATTCTCTCTGTTAGCAAATTTTGTAAATGTACATTCCTTTATTTATATAGCACTTTTCTAGACAGTCAAAGTGCTTTACACATTGAGGGGAATCTCCTCATCCACCAACAGTGTGCAGCATTCCACCTGGATGACAGGACAGCAGCTATATTGCGCCAGACCGTAATTTATGCATGTAAATTAAGCTGAATATTGAGTAGGGGGTGGGGCTTTTATTTGCACATCATTACCTTATAGCAAACTAATGGTGAGAGGGGAGTGGTTGAGAATATTGTCTCGGAAGCAGTCAAACTGACATCAACAGAGTAGGACGGCCACTTCAAACGCGGAAGCACATAGTCAAACGTTGATTACCAAAACAAACAAATGAACACACTTTTTTGATGTGTTCATTTGCACTCATTAATTGTTTACCCAAAGAAAACATTGGAACATTGTTTCACTAAGTATTCTTTACAAAATTTAGCTGAAATGCTTACATTATTGATCACTGATTCTAATTGATATGCCATCCGAGTGTGTTTCCAAGCGTCATCATGCAATTCTGTTCTCTGTTTCTCAACAGGAGTGACAGTTCCTTCAACTTCTTTGCATTTTTCTTTGTGTTCTTCGCCCAGTTGGTGCTTTATGTTATGATGACTATTGGGATCCCAGGTTGGGGTTTCAGGTGAGTGTGCCAACAAATCTGCCAATAATATTGATTACCTGTTTCTAGTAATTCCATCTGTGCATCTGGCTACTGGTTTGTTACTCTCTAATATTCTCTCTTTCCTGTGTCTCAGTGGATGGATCGTGAGTTTAGCCGCTCTCAGCACGAGTAAGGCCGTGGGTGCCATCATGATGATGAACGCTGTGCTCTTCACTGCACAGTTGGCTATGGGAATAGTGCTGCTCAAGAGGGTAAATCAGCTGCGGTTGGACTTTTAGGGGAACATATTGCGTCTAAAAGCCAGTGGAAAGCACGAGCGCATCGCTTCCTTCTCCATTTTCAACACGTTTTGGGCTTGCGCTGCTTTGCCGTTTGATGTTTTTCGGTTGATGACAAGCTGACACAACATTGCTGCAAAACTCTTAAGTTTTATTTATGGAGAAAATATTAAAAGCACTGCAGTGTTTGGCTGTTTGTGTAAGTAATTAGTCTACCGAAGTGTGTATATTACACACAAAGTGTGCGTCACTCCCAACATATTATACTTCGGAAATAACAAATTTGCACTCGCAGAAAAATGTGACATGTGAATGGTCCCATAAGGGGGTCGCACACAGAATATGCCACTCGACGCCACGCAGCGCGCCATGCATTTTAGAATTCTAAACATAGATTTTTATTAGAGTTCGCGCACTGGCGCTGCAAGGACACAGAGTCTGAACAGTTTCATCTTAAATAACTTGCGAATGTGCGTGTGTGCGATACATCCAAATTTCATGTGCGCACCTTGTCGTGGTGCATCCGGTGTGTGAGCTGCTTTACTCATTCACTGGCTGTCAAATTAGGGTTTTAAAGGAATACTAAAAAAGTTTTTCAAAAAGTTTGCAACATTCCTTGAGATAAACAGTTGAGTTTTATATTTTTAAATCCATTTATCTGATCTCCAAGGGGCCTCATGTACGAAGACTTGCGTTGAATTCATACTAAAACATTGCGGACGCACTAAGCTGTAAGTGTGCGTACACAGTAAAAAATTCAGATGTATGAAACACTGCATACTCGGAATCCCATGCATATTGGCTTTGCACATCCGAATAAACGTGAAACTGAGTGCACGTGCTCCCTCCCTGCCTCCTCCCCTTAATAAATATGGTAATGACTCTACTTTGCCAAAACCAAACAAAAATCAATGGCAAAAGCAAGCAATAGAAACTTCACAGAATATGTATTAGAGGTGCTCCAATCAGAGGTAGACCGATTATTTATTTGCTTAGTGCTATTTGATTAGTGTTATTTGCAAGTTTGTCCTCCAGAATTAATAACAAAAGCAATTTTTTAAATAAATAACCAGTAACAAAAAAAGTTTTCCCCATTTTATATTTAAAAAAAAATAGCTGTCCACATGATAACGTAAAAGCGCACTGTGGTGGATTTAAAGGTCATGCCGAAGCAACAGGTGGCGATAATGACACTTTTATGCTGGGTTCACACCAAATGGGAGAATTAAGTATTGTCGCAAATAAACTGCATACAAGTCAATGCAAACGTGGGAACGGAGGCAGATTACCATTATGAACAACACGGAATATGCGACGTGTTTGCAACGAACCTGCAGGATTTGCCTCAGTCAAGTCTTCTGTGTTTGGTGTGAACCCAGCCGTGTTGACCAATCATTCATTCATTTTTCTTCGGCTAAGTCCCTTATTTATCATGGGTTCCCACAGCAGAATGAACCGCCGACTATTCCAGCATATGTTTTACGCAGCGGATGCCCTTTCAGCTGCAACCCAATACTGGGAAACACACCCACTCATACGCTATGGCCAATTTAGTTTGTTCAATTCACTTATAGCGCATGTCTTTACTCCACACAGAAATGCCAACTGGCCCAGCTGGGACTCAAACTAGCAACCTTCTTGCTGTGAGACAGCAATGCTAACCACTGAGTCACTGTGCCGCCGTTTTTGACCAATCAGAAAGGAGAAAACAGCGTGCACGCTGGCGTCATGAGGCGAAAAACTCTAGTTGTAATGTCCACATGACCATACTCTGTACCCAGAGTTTTCTGAAAGTTTCTGTTTTAGTCACCAGATATTTCGTTTTCATGTGGACAAACAGCGAAACCACGCAGAAAAATAGTGGCGTTTTGAAAATACCCGTGTTCACTAAATTCAAACTAGTTCGCTAGATACAATAGCTAAATTCATTTGATTAGATTAATACATTTTTAAGTAAACATTCACTGGTTAGATGCGCTAGTAGCACACTTGAGGACATCTGCTGTTTACAATAGGTTAATGCCGAATAAATCATTCGTCAGTGTGGACGCAAAAAAATGTATCATTTATTTATATAGTTATATCACACTTGGCATGGACAGCCTTTAAAGCTATTAAAGGTCCCGTGAAGTGCTTTGAAATGTGCACTTATATTCGATGTTTTACGTAATCTCAACCGAAACATGAAGAGAGGGTGGGACATAATGTAGCTCCTCCCTCTTTTTAAAAACAGCCAATAGTGTTTGTTTCTTCATCGTTCTGTCAGTGACAACAAGTGCATCAAATGAAAAGCAAATGAGAAGCGTCTTGAAGGGGCGGGGCATGTTAGATACTAGAGAGCATTTGATTGGTTATGATGTGACGAGAAACTGAATTATGAGGTGAGGTGAATAAAACCGTTGAACCATTTAGGTGGAGGTGACAAACTACAAATTTTACATGTTTATATCAGTTTATATCTTATAAATGTGAATTTTGTCACAGTTTTGGAGCACACTAGCTTATAGATATCCTAAAAATCCTTTAAACAGCACTTTATGCTTAATTATTTTTAGTTTATTTAATAGATTTATTTTGAATGCTAATTGCTTGCGTTTGTCTTCCCGCAGGTTCATTCTATGTACAGACAGACCGAGGCGAGCTTTGAGAAAGCCCAGGCTGAGTTCGCCACCGGTGTGCTGTCCAATCAGGCCGTGCGCCAGGCAGCCACCAACGCCACCGTTTCCGCCGCACAGGGTGCCTTCACTGCACCCCGATAGAGGAAAACAAATGAGGTTCAACGGCATCACTGGTTAAACAGCCTTGAGACAAAGTGACTTATTCTAGCACACTTAGTCAACCAACACACTTGCATGCACACCAGGTAAAACAAACTCATAACCATAGTAAAACTACACTGGACTTCTTTTTGAATTCGTTTATTGGTTCAGCCGTGTAAAAAGGATCTTGATTTGAAATGATGGTTTTTACATATGTACTCCATCGATCACGCTAGAAAAAGTCACTCATAATTCTAAAGATAACAAAAATACCTAAGACCCCCGAGTTTGTCTCTCTTTACATCCCTAAAGCTTGTGTAAGGTCTCGTTAGCAGACGTGCCACATTCTGCCTTCACTTTATCCTTGACTTTCTTCCTTATTGTGTGTAAATAGCTGTTAACGGCCATGAAAGGGATACAAAAAAATAAAGCTGAACTTGCCAAACGTTTTTCTTCAGAAGTCGAGGAATATCATAGTTTAGAGATTTATGATTCACTTGATTAGTCTGTTGGTGGGTGGATTTCTTGCTTTGACTTTTATTTATGAAAACGCATGTTCAACTACTGTATTTACCTCTTTGACACCTGACTAATGGTTTATTTTCCTGAACTAGAGCTTCGGATTACTGAATCAAACTTGATACGTTGATATAAAACTCCAGTTTTCTTATCAAACTACAGTTGCGGAGATCGTTGTGGCCAAAATATGTATTGCTTTTGTGATTTGTAGCCTTTTTTTTCCACAAACCTTTGTCCTACACTATAGTAAATGCCTAAATGAAGTATTATTTGGTTGTTTTACTGTTATTGTATTGCTGCTGTATGTTCTTGTGTTTGTCACTGTGTTATTTGTTTTATTAAAATTCATGAATATGCATCTTACGCAGTTCGTATTTGGATGACTCGGTTTAGTTCGATTTAGAGGTAGTTGGATGTTGGCGCTGGGACTTACCCGCTACATTTTCGTGTTGCGATTATTGCTGTTGCTTTTATCATGATGTCATATTATTACAATATTGACTTAAGCTGCAAAGAATTGCCTTTTTGAATGGGTATAGTAACGACAACAATTCTCAATTGCTTTTTGTATACATAAATGCATAGAATGTATTCTAAAGTATATTAAGTATATAACTGTATATAAAACTAATACAATAAGTAACACTTTACATAGCTCCATTTGTTTGTAACGTTAGTTAAATACTTTTTTTAAAGCATTTATTAGTCTAAGATTATGTTTAATAACTAATCTGTATCAAAAGCAGTGTTTACTTTTGTAAAGCTATAAAGTTTAAAGGGGTGGTCCGGAGTGTATTTTTGTTAAGGCTTGGTTGTGTTCATAAGATTCAAAGTAAAAAAAAAATGTTAATTACCTTATTTTTTTCGTATATCTTACTTTGATTATATACAGCTACTTACATGAAAACAATTGACATATTTCCTAGATCCTCCGAAAGCTCGCCTCATGAGGCGCTGATTGGTCAGCTAACATAATGTGCTGTGATTCGCGGATCGGCTCCACGTCACCAGATAAAGCGACACAAATCTAATACCACACACTGTGCCTCCGCTGTGTATATACTTAAGTCAGAGTAGCTGTTAGCCGTATGAGTTTGAGCCTGAAACAGACAGAAAATTAAAAGGATGATACTCACACCTGCTCTCTAAATTAAAATCTGACTAGCGTCCTTCACATATATTCGAGTTATACGCATGTGTAAGTAATATAAAACATTAACATATCTTTTGAGAGTTTATTTAAGATGTAGAATGCAGGGAAAGTGGCTGCATAGAGAGACTGCAGCGCTGGTGAAGATTGTGTGTGTGTGTACAGCGGTTTGACTGATAATAATATGAATTTGTATCTAAATTGTTAGCGGTGCCAAACAGCATTTCCCATTGTTTACTTCCTCGCAACAACATACTGTTAATGCTAGAAAGTGTGCATGTTATAGATCAATTTGAACAAATAAAAATACTTGCAGGTTGAGGCTCACAATCCACAGATTCGTCAATTATGGTTGGAGCTGCTCCTTCTTTAAGGAGGTTTTAGCCAAATCCAGCACTGAACTGGGAGAGATTCTGGAAGCTGTCCTTTGTCAAATGCTTGCTATATATATTTTTTATAATTCTCTGGAACATAATTAAAATTAAACTGTAAGCACTTCTCTCTTTGTGTCTTGTCCTTTGGAAGCTCAAATACAGAAACAGAACAAGCTCTGTGGAAATGGCAGCGTTTGGACGGCATTTTAAGTTTTCTCTGCTAAAGCATTACAGCGCCTCTGGCCACACCCCTTTGCTGCGCAGGGTGTATGCATATAGTGAATGAATCGTTTTTGATCTCATTAACCCAGATGTATATTTTTTTAGTCTCCAAATTTCATTCGCTGTAGGCTTTGCTAAGCTAACTCTGTAAAAGCCAATGTCTCCTTTTGCATTGAACTTTAAACGTATTACATTCAGAGATGTTTTTTATGTTCACACAGCTTACACATTAACTAAAGTTTAAAATATGATATCGTAGTGGACCACCCCTTTAATAAATATGCAAATGCTGTTGTAATAAACGCCTCTGTGAATACAACAATATGAATATTCTTAAAAGTCATTCTAAGAGCTAAAATTATAATTATTCAAAATATTTTGAAGTGCCCTTAATAATCGCATTAATACATAATACAATATACACAATATCAGTATAGCAGAACAAATATTTATACGAATGAATATACTTTTTGCTTTATTTCTTTAACTCTCAGCAGAAGGCTGTAGGCTATGTAGCTATAATACATAGTTTGATGTTAATTTGATGATATTCTAATAAATTTAGCTTTTTAATTGAATGTAAGTAATATAAATAAGAAACCACTAACCTAATAACACTGTAAAAAGAAGTTTTTGGAAGTTACTGCTAGGGGAAATTATTATTTTTTTTAACAATCTTCAATCATTAAGAAAAGGTTATCATTAAGAAATGTATTGTTTTTCTTATTAATAAGTTTAAGAGATTCAACAAGCAGCAAAATTTCAGCAGGGAAAATATCTAAGCTATTGGGGAATTACCAACCTACATCACACATGACAACCGTGCATACCGGTTGCAAAAAAAGACCAGTTGCAATAGCAAACATGTCGTGTTGTGTGGTAGGATGCCAAATTCGAAAATAGAAGCCTTAAATTTTACTGTACACCACACTGCTTTTAATGCCAACTGCAGACAGCTTTGGCTAACAGCCATCAGAAGAGCTGAATGGAGTGAGGACCTAATTGAAAATGCTTGACTCTGCAGTTCTTATGTTATATCAGGTAAGTTCATGCTATGCTGAATCATACACATTATTCATTTATTCATTATTCAATTCGTCATATCATTACACAGACGAATTGTTCACCACAAAACTAGCAATGTCAGCTAACAATATGGCTAGTTTTGATTTCATGTGTACTTTAAAATCATATTTAATAACTTGAATCGTGTCTCACAAAAAGAAGTAACGCGATTGCATTTACGGAATAAACGAAAAACGAATGAAACTTTTATATTTGGTTACTCAAAGTGGATCGTTCTGGCTGACGCGTCTCCTTGACAGCAGCCCTCCGTCACGTCAGAGTTAATTCAGTCGCTGCTTCTGAGTGAAGATGGCGGAGGCCGCTGCTGCTCCACGACACCGGTTCTTCTGTCACTGCTGTAAAGGTGAAATAGACCCAAAGCTACCGGTGAGTCCACAGACTCTTATTTACCTGCCTATGTCTGCGTTTTGTCTGCTTACCCCATGTTAACCCCAACGCCTACCTTCTTACATAACTTACTGCAGAAGTACTAACTTACAGTACACGACTGTCTAATTTTATAGATGTCGCGTCTGTATGAGTCGACGCGCATTGGTTTGGTATTAGATAGAAACTGTCTTCAATGTAACTGCGGTCTAAATGTTATAAGGAGTGTGTGATGAGTGCCATGGTTGCGAGGAATTCGGTATCCAAGTTTGGGAGTTACACTGACTCCAAATTTAGCACAGTCTCGACCGTCTGAAGTAGAAACACGCATGCAGTACATTGACGGACACAAAGGTGCTTATGTCATGTCAATAAATATGATACAAGAAATGAAATATTTGATTGAAACTATACTGATTAAGCTGTCTAATACAATCTTAGTCTCCATTCTATCTTAAACTTATACACTATAAAAAATGCTGGATTCTACACAATGTGTTCATGTTGTCCCAACACAAATCGGTTAAGTTAATCGTTTTGACAAATTTAAGTGGACTGAACTTAAAGCAATTACGTTGTGCCAAAAAATACTTTAAAAATAGTGTTGTTTCAACTCATTTGTTTTTAAATAAGTGGTTTGAACAAGCAGCAAAAACATTTTATTACTTTTTAAATTGAATATTTAATCAAAAACCACACAGTTGAGTTTTAAAATTAAGGATTGTCGTTCCTCTCATTAGGAAATCATAAAATCTCTACTTTTATTTATCTGATTCATTTATTGATCTGAAATTTTATTGGTTTGTCGTAACTTTATTACTTAGCCAGTGTATATTAATATAAATAAAAATAAAGCATATACATATTAATTTATTTATACAATCTAGAATACTGGTGTCAAAGCTTTTTCATAATATTTTGTTCCTTTTTTATCTTTTGGGTAAACAAATGATTCATACAAATGTCAGCATAATAAAGGTATATTACTTTTAACAGAAGGGTTGAACTGTATTCTCTGGTCAGATTGTCACATATGTTTTTATACAAAACAGTATTGCTGAGCACAACTCTATCCATATTTCTGCACACAGTTTATGTAAATTTTGTGATTTAAAGGGTAAGTTTACCCAAAAATGAAAGTTATGTGATTGATTACTCACCCTCATGTTGTTCTAAACCCCCAATACCTTAGTTCATCTTCATAATACAGTTCCCAAATACTGAAATTTGGGAGTTCCATCATCCTCCATATTGGACAGTCTGGATTCTCAAAACGGTCCATGCCTTCAGTGGTTCAATCGAATAATTATCAAGCTACACGAATACTCTTGTGCACACATTAAACACTTTCTTCAATTCAAGGTATGTATCAGTGCACAGTGCTTATACATGCGCACCCTATACTGACACTAAACTCTTAGCACAAACTGTAGTATTCTTGTAGCCTCATAATATTCTGATTGAATCACTGATGAATGTAATAAGGGTAATTAAAAACAGAATATTAATTTTTAAATGAACTAACCCTTTAATGGTAAGTTCATCTCTGATCCCTTCATATAGAAGTAATACAATAAAGTTATCTGGAAGAACCAATAAGAGTTTAACAGTCAAAAGCTCACTGGAGAACTTTTTTATTAACATGTTAATAAACTAAACAGGGGAGGACTGGAACAAAAATTCAGCCCTGGCACTCACGATCTCCGTAACCTCTGATCGGGTCAGCCCCTCTCAAAACCAGCTGGCCGTTGTCGATTGGGCCAGCTAGTAAAATGTACCAGTCCCTAAAACAGCTAATACCATTGTCTTTATATATATATATATATATATATATATATATATATATATATATATATATATATATATATATATATATATATACAGTTGAAGTCAGAATTATTAGCCCCCCTTTGATTTTTTTTCTTTTTTAAATATTTCCTAAATGATGTTTAACAGAACAACAAAATTTTCACAGTATTTCTGATAATATTTTTTCTTCTAGAGAAAGTCTTATTTGCTTTGTTTCGGCTAAAATAAAAGCAGTTTTAAATTTTTTAAACACCGTTTTAAGGACAAAATTATAAGCCCTTTTTAAGCTATTTTTGTTTTTGTTAATCTACAGAACAAACCATCGTTATACAATAGCTTGCCTACTTACCCAAACCTGCCTAGTAAACCTAATTAACCTAGTTAAGCCTTTTAATGTCAATTTAAGCTGTATAGAAGTGTCTTGAAAAATATCTAGTAAAATATTATCTACTGTCATCATAACAAAGATAAAATCTTTAAAATGATTTATTAGAAATGAGTTTAAAACTATTATGTTTAGAAATGTGCTGAAAAAAATCTGCTCTTCATTAAACAGAAATTGGGGGGAAAAAAAAAAATATAAAAAAAAAATATATATATATATATATATATATATATATATATATATATATATATATATATATATATATATATATATAAATATATATATATATATATATATATAGTTTTTTATTTTAGTGTTTTTTTCGTGCTTTCCAATATTAAATAAGCGTAAACTTCAGACTAATTTAAAGGTCAGAATTGGGGCCAGTTTATTTGAGACTTTCAGTTGTATAAAATGTTACACATTACAATCTAATGACAAACAGTTTACATTCTGACATAATATACCTCTGTTTATTAATCTTTTAAACAGGAATATGTATGTCCCAGATGTGAATCTGGCTTTATTGAAGAGGTGTCAGAAAACTTCAGGTACATTTCTGCATTTATGCTACTAAATGTAGTGAATGATAAAGATTATTGCTCTTGTTTCATGGAGAACAAAACCTTCAGAAAAAAATTACATACAATAAAGAATAATAAATGAAAATGAAAAAGATACTGAAAATATTTATTAATTAATACCAATAAAAAATGTCTTTGTATTTATGTACATTTTAGACGTTTGCTCTTTTGTATTATTGCACATTATTTTTAATTTTGATGATTGTATTATTGTGAATAATATTGACAATATTGTTTTGTATATTGTCATTTACAATGAGTAAAACATGTTTCTTAGTCTTCTTCAGAATCGGGATGGTGCTGCTGGGACAGGCAGTGATGACATGACCTCACAGTTTGCTGAGGTATAATATTTTACTTTTACACCATGCTAATCATTTTTTACAAAATAATGAAGTGCACAGATACATTGTTTAAGTTAATAAAAACTACTATATACAGTTGAAGTCAAAATTATTCGCCCTCCTATGAATTCTTTTTCAGATATTTCCCAAATGAGGTTTAACAAAGCAAGACTTTTTTCACAGTATTTTCAATAATATTTTTTCTTCAGTTTTTTTAGCTACAGAACAAATCATCGTTATACAAAAACCTGCCTAATTACCCTAATCTGGCTAATTAACCTAGTTAAGCCTTTAAATGTCACTTCAAGATGAATACAAGTATGTTGAAAAATATCTAGTAAAATATTCATCATGGCAAAGATAAAAGAAATCTTCTTTCCCTTATACAGAATTTTGGGAGAAAATAAAGGGGCTAATAAATCAAGAGGGCTAATAATAATTCTGACTTCAACTGTACAAATCAAGATAATTTCATGGCAACTTTAAGAGGCAACTGGTTGTTATGTGATGATATTGGTTGTTCATAGTGTAATGTAACACCTGATTCACCTGGTCCATGGAAATTGTTTCTAAATAAGGTGTCGGCTTATGCCCTCGTGTCAGGTTAGTCCATGGTTTTACAGACTACTGACAGGCAGTTGCGATGATCAACCACAAGAGGGAGCCACGAGAGAAACTTGCATAGTGTTGCTTTCATTTATTTTTGTCTGTGTATGTCTTTTTGACTTTCAAGCTCTAGACACAAAAGACTACAAATATATAAACCTGTTTGTTTTTTGACCTACAGTTGAAGTCAGAATTATTAGCCTCCCTGTATATTTTCCCCAATTTCTGTTTAACAGAAAGAACATTTTTTTCAACACATTTCCAAACACAATAGTTTTAATAACTCATTTCTAATAATTGATTTATTTTATCTTTGCCATGATGACAGTAAATAATATTTAACTAGATATTTTCTTAAGATACTAGTATTCACTTTAAAGTGACATTTAAAGGCTTAACTATGTTAATTAGGTTAGAGTATTAGGCTAGTTATTGTATAACAATAGTTTGTGCTGTAGACATTAGAAAAATTTGCTTAAGAGGGCTAATAATATTGACCTAGGAATGGTTTTCAAAAAATTAAAAGCTGCTTTTATTCTAGCTGAAAGAAAACAAATAAGACTTTCTACAGAAGAAAAATGATTATCGGAAATAATGTGGAAAAATTCCTTGCTCTGTTGAACATCATTTGGGAACTATTTAAAAAAGAAAAGAATTTCACATGAGGGCTAATAATTGTAACTTTGACTTCAACTGCACATCTTATATGGTCATTATATGTCAACAAATTTTAATTTTAGGGGTGAACTGTCCCTTTAAGGGGTGTCAGTCATCATTTTCAATGAGTCTTTTGTCTTTGCTTTAGCTGTGGCAGCTGCTCTTCATGGAGCATTCAGCCCTGCTCTCCGAGCCCTCGGTCACAGACGCGCTCCGCAGCTCCGGGCTCCAGCCAGCAGTTGCTGATCCTGCCTCTGGGACGGCGGGACCTGTGGCATCCGTCGAGAGTCTGTCAGACTGCACCGAGCCTCAACAAAACAGCCCACAGACAAACTCCAGACAGGATCAGGGACAGGCTGTGGAGGGGTGTGTAGCAAAAGTAATAACAAAAGTATCAGTATTCACACTGGTGTATAAGGGAAAAAATAATATAGCCATTAATTAATAATATAACAATTTAATACTTGCAGGTTATTTGTTACACTTTATCAATCAGTGAGACTCTGTCTTTTTTGTGGAGGACGAATTACAAGTTTGTCCATTTTTTGGTCAGACATCTGTAAAAAAAATGTTGACGCGTAACCCCCCACCCCCCACCCCATCTATCAGGAGTTGTTTTAAAATAAATCATCATATTTAAGTATATATAAGTACAGGATATCAAAGCTCAGAAATAATTCTGAATTACACAAAAAAATGGTGTTTTTCTAAAAAAAATATATACATTTTTTAGAATGAATGATTATATTTATTCAAATATTCACCCATATGTCCTCTCAATCCCTCATTTTTAAACACATGTTTATTACTAAGTCAGATATTCTTATATTAAAGTTGGTTAAAGATAGTAAAGATAGTTAAATTGCATTTTTGATGCACTGATGCTCTCTTTTTGTCTTTCCCTAAGGATTGTACAGCAGTTCCTGGCAGGTCTGTTTTCCAATTCAGACAGTGCAGGTCCCCAAACCTCCTCATGGTATGTTTAAAATGGTTAAAACAAGACTCTTTCAGATATAATATAACACCAAAATAACACTTTAATCAGTCAATCAGTAAGATTTTGGATCAGTTTTACCAGTTTTACCTTACTTAACCCATTACCTCATCTTAACACATTCATTAATTTTTTTTCGACTTAGTCCCTGATTATCAGGGATCACCACAGCGAAATTAACCGCCAGCTATTCCAGCATGTTTTACACAGTGGATGCCCTTCCAGCCGCAACCCAGTACTGGGAAAATTACCTAATTTTATCTGATAGAAATGTTGTTCAGAAACCAGCAAAAGATATTCAAGTTCCACTTTTTTCCTGCCCTGAAAAAAATATTTAAAGATTACTCTCTTGGATTTACTACATTTACAGTGGTTGTAAACAATTTATTTGGGCTGAATTTAAGCCAACAACTTAAGTTGAACATTACTAAATTTCATTTGTTTGTTTAAATTCAACACATAAATCGTTTGCAACAATTTTGTCAGCATTTTTTTTCAGTGTACATTTCCATGGATTTGCATATATTAAATCAATATCTCTGTTGATTTATCAATAACCTGTTCCTCAGGTCCAGCGCGCTGCACTCAAACCCTGGAGACTATGCTTGGGGACAGGGAGGTTTGGATGCGGTCGTAACACAGGTTAGTCACGCTGTCATCTCTGACATCATCCAGTTATATGACTCATGGCCTCAGCCTCTTTGCACTTAGCCTCATTAGTCTCCTCAGTGTTTTGCCAGCTGACGATTAAAGGGACAGTTCAACCAAAAATAACCATTTGAGGATAATTTACTCATCCTCCGGCCATACAAGATGAAGGTCTTTTTTTAGTAAGATATGCTAAATATTTATTTATTTTTTTGCTGAAACTGTGGTTCTTGGTGATGTATAAAATGGATATCGAAGACTAGAGTTAAAAAACATATGAAGACAAAGCCAAATTAATACCAGTGGCTTTTTTATGTTTTATTTATATTTATATATAATATAAATTATATAATTTTAGGGTACATTACAAAAGAAAACAAGAACTGCAAGAACAACAAAAACAAACAATAATTAAACATGTGCATACTTAATACGACAGATAAAATATTTTAAAATGGTAGAAAACAAGTAAAGATAAACAAACAAATAAAATAATAATAGCAAAGAAACCTACTAAATGTAATTTCATTCATTCATTTTCTTTTCGGCTTAGTTTCTTTATTAATCTGGGATCGCCACAGCGGAATGAACCGCCAACTTATCCAGCACATGTTTTACGCAGCGGATGCCCTTTTAGCTGCAACCCATCACTGGAAAACACCCATACACACTCATTCACACACATACACTACGGACAGTTTCCCTTAACCGCATGCCTTTGGACTTGTGGGGGGAACCCAGAGGAAACCCACGCGAACATGGGGAGAATATGAAAACTCTACACAGAACTGCCAACTAACCCAGCCGAGGCTCGAACCAGCGACCTTCTTGCTGTGAGGTGATCATGCTACCCACTGCACCACTGTGACGCCCCCTTTCTTATATGCTCATGTTTGTAAAAATACATTAACTAACATCAACTAATGAAGCCTTCTTGTAAAGTGTGTTCATTATTATTCATTTGTATTGCATATAAGGATTTGCATTAAGCACGCAGCTAGCTTGGATACACACTTGTGTTGCGGACTCGGACAAAAGTATAAATCAGTTCTAATCCTCAGCAAACAGTACTTTCACAGCAGTTTGGTTCCTAAATCTAATTTTTGCGAGAGATCTGCAGAGTGGATGGCAACATCAACAGCCTGAGGTATCAGGACATTTGTGCTGCGCATTACATTACAAACCACAGCAGAGGGCAAATTCTTCAGCAGGAGAGCACTCCTCATACTTCAGCCTCCACATCAAAGTTCCTGAAAGCAAAGAAGGTCAAGGTGCTCAAGCATTGGCCAGCCCAATCACCAGATATGAATATTATTGAGCATGTCTGGGGTAAGATGAAGGAGGAGTCATTAAAGATGAATCTAAACAATCTTGATGAGCTCTGGGAGTCCTGCAGGAGCGCTTTCTTTGCCATTCCAGATGAGTTATAAAGAAGTTCTTTGAGTCATTGTAGAGATGTATGGATGCAGTCCTCTGAGCTCTTGGGAATCGTACACAATGTTAATTCTTGTTCCACTGCACCATGACTTTATATTCTATATTGTGCATTATTTCTGTTCAGTGACTTTTGTCTTAGCAAAGTCAGACCTTAGTGTCCTAATGAAATAATAAAAAATTAGGGCATGATCGTATTTTATCATGTTAAAATTTGCGTAATCTAGAGGCCTTTGCGTTTCATATAAGCCACTTCTGATACCAAATGATCAACTAGAAGTCAAGTTATTATTTGTTGTTCCTAAAACTTGAATAGAGGACAATGCTTTTGTCAGGTAGTGATTGTGTTTTTGACTCTGTTCTACTGAAGAAAATTAGTTTTCATCTTGGATGAACTGAGGGTGAGTAAATCAGCAGCAGATTTACAGTTTTCGGGTGTACCGTCTCTTTAAATTTGTGTAGGTCAAACATGTTATAGACCTTTTGCTGAAATGAAAGAAGCATCTTGGTCACCACTTCCCATTTTTCCCTTGTCTTTTCTAGTTGCTTGGTCAGTCTGAAAACAGCGGCCCCCCTCCTGCCGAGAAGGAGATGATCTCATCTCTGCCCACCGTTAGCATCTCCTCAGAGCAGGCTGGTGAGTTCCCATAATCCTCTGAGTCACACTCTTAAGTGCAAAAGCAAAACACGGCTGTTCAGATACATCTGCTCACCTCCAGGAAGTGTTTTTTTCTTGGCTTTCCTGGCAGACTATTGTATCGAGATTGATAGATTAGGGAGTGTGAACTGGAAAGTGTTAAAACAAGATGAATCTCTGTGATTCTGTCAACAGCGCATTGTGTTTTTGGTGTATTCATATAAAATATTTCCAGACACTTGCATCTTCCCCCCTCATGTTATTGATTGCAGAGCTACAAATCAGTTTAGAAATATTTGAAGATTTCCACTTGAAGGTCATCTCAACAGGGAATCTTTGCAGAATTATGTTCACTTAACTTTCCTAGAGATGGGTTGCGGCTGGAAGGGAATCCGCTGCGTAAAAACTTGCTGGATAAGTTGGCGGTTCATTCCGCTGTGGCGACCCCGGATTAATAAAGGGACTAAGCCGACAAGAAAATGAATGAATGAATGAATGAATAAATGTTCACTAAACACTTCTGAAACCAATGTATATGGGTAAAAATAAATAAATAAACAAATAAATAAGGTAAACTACTGAATATGCTTAATGAACCATGTATGGCTAAATCAATAAACAAAAATTCTTAAGTTCTATACATTCACATTGTAAAATTTGTATATTACATGCATATTTATTATAGATTTATATACAGTTGAAGTCAGAATTATTAGCCCCCCTGAATTATGAAATATGATGACAGTAGATAATATTTGACTATATATATTTTCAAGTCACTTCTATACAGTTTAAAGTGACATTTAAAGGCTTAACTAGGTTAATTAGGTTAACTAGGCAGGTTAGAGTAATTAGGCAAGTTGTTGTATAACAATGGTTTGTTCTGTGGACTATTGAAAAAAAAATTCAGAAGGGGCTCATAAGTTTGTCCTTAAAATGGTGTTTAAAAAATAAAAAACGGCTTTTGTTCTTGCCGAAATAAAACAAATAAGACTTTCTCCAGAAGAAAAAATATTATCAGGTATACTGTAAAAAATTCTTTGCTCTGTTAAACATCATTTGGAAAATATTTTAAAAAGAAAAAATTATGTGTGTGTGTGTGTGTATATATATATATATATATATATATATATATATATATATATATATATATATTGTAAATAAAGCAAATACATATTGAAAAGTAAAAGTTTCTATTATTTTTATAATAAAACTTCTTAATAAAACTTTAAATTAATTTTAGAAGTTAAATTCATTTATATATTCCCATGAATCATCTGTTGAGCTGCATCCCAATTATCACAAATACTGCAGAAGACCTATTGGGACTCGCATGGACTCAAGATTCTCACAGAAATCAGTCAAGTTTGGTGAAGAAAAAAATCATGGTTTGGGGTTACATTCGGTATGGGGGTGTGTGAGAGATCTGCAGAGTGGATGGCAACATCAACAGCCTGAGGTATCAACATTTGTGCTGCCCATTACATTACAAACCACAGGAGAGGGCAAATTCTTCAGCAGGATAGCGCTCCTTCAGCCTCCACATCAAAGTTCCTGAAAGCAAAGAAGGTCAAGGTGCTCCAGGATTGGCCAGCCCATTCACCAGACATGAACATTATTGAGCATGACTGAGGTAAGATGGAGGAGGCGTGAAATAAGGATCTAAAGAATTCTGATGAACTGTGGAAGTCCTGCAAGAACACTTTCTTTGTCATTCCAGATGACTTTATTATTAAAATAACAACTCCCCAGCAATGTGCCTTAATACACTTCTATTTTAGACCAGCACAATCATAAGTCCACAAAGTGGAACAAATGTACTTGCTATTTAAACAATGTGGCGCAAAGCATGAAAATTAGTGTTGCCCTGGTCTGAAAATGGCAACAAATCGCGCCAAACACATCTTGTGCCTTATTGTGCCGGAGGTATGATAAGGGCCCATAATGTTAGCAATGAAACACAATGGGATGTCAACTTACATCTCATATAACTATGAAAAAAAGAATTTAAAACATGAACAATAAGCGTTAAACAAATGCTTATGAAATCTCTTTTTTATTAGCATGCATGCAGCACCTCACAGTTGTTTTCTCCATTTCTTTTCTTGAGTTCATCCATGCCATATTTTCCCCCTATGTCTCTCTCTGTCTCTCTCTGTCTCTCAGCATGCCGGCTGGAATGCCCCGTGTGTCGAGAGGAGTTTTCTGTTGGGGAATCTGTCCGACAGCTGCCGTGTCTGCACTACTTTCACAGCAGCTGTATTGTGCCCTGGCTTCAACTGGTATGAGTTTCAGAAACCTGAATCTGTGTGCCATCAGACTACCAGAATAAAGGAGAAACATATGCTTAATTTAGGGCTGCTGTCATAAATGGTGGCAGCCATGTGTTAATCGTTGCTTATAGTTGACTAACAAGCAAAAATATATGGAAAGGCCCTCTAGTGGTTGACTGAAGAAAAACAACTTTACACTAATGGACTAGTCAAAGAATATTCAACTTTTTTCCACATGTGACTACTTTCTTTGAAATTATGGGTTGCACTTCCAGTTTGGTTCATTCACTTGGTATTTAAATGCAACATTAGTATCACAAGTGGCCAAAGCTCCTTTGAGTTCAGTGTTTCGTTCCTCCATATTATAAACTCTTTGCATTTTGTACAGTATAGTAAGTAATATTCAACAATTGGCATCAACAACATGAAAGCATGGATCCATCCTACCTTGTTTTAACGGTTTAGGCTGGTGATGGTGGTGTAATGGTGTGGGGGATATTTTCTTAGCTCACTTTAGGCCCATTAGCACCAATTGAGCATTGTGTCAACGCCACAGCCTACCAGAGAATTGTTGCTGACCATGTCCATCCCTTAATGACCAGTGTGCCCATCTTCTGATGGCTACTTCCAGCAGGATAACGGGTCATGTCATAAAGCGCGAATCACTTCAGACTGGTTTCTTGAACATGACAGTGAGTTCACTGTATGCAAATATCCTCCACAGTCACTAGAACGCGATCCAATGGAGCACCTTTAGAATGTGTTGGAACGGGAGATTCACATTATGGATGTGCAGCTGTCAAATCTGCAGCAACTGCGTGATGCTATCATGTCAATATGGAGCAAAATCTCTGAGGAATATTTCCAGTACCTTGTTGAATCTATGCCATGAAGTATTAAGACAGTTCTAAAGGCAAAAGGGGGTCCAATCTGTCACTAGTAAGGTGTACCTAATAAAGTGGCTGGTGAGTGTATAAAAAAGACGTGTTTGGACATTAACTTCTGAATGCGAAATTATCTAAATTTCAAAAGATGATTGACGGAGTACATAACTAAGCAGCACAACGGTACATTAATGAGGAAGTAGTATGTCCCAAAGCTGGCATACTCTACTCTTATACACTCAAATGTATGTACTTTTTCTTCACAAAAACAGTACATAGTTTAGGATGTAGTTTTAGTATGCGGATTGGGATGCAACAATTGTTTACAAGTGAACTGAATGCACTCCTGTAATTCACATAAAGCATCATTGGGCGTATAAATAGAGGTGGTCAGTTGCGATGTCAGTTTGTAGAGCAACTCAAAGACGAATTCACAATTGGAAATTCCCAGTGGGTTTTTAAAATGTCACGTCTAGATTTATGAGCACCATAAACCTTGTGGTTGACATTACTTGAAGAGGCTGTAATGCTTCTTCTGTACATTACACACAGTCAAACCGCAAACATGGATTTTTGAGCTGGCAGGTTTGAAATGATGATAATGATGTTTGAAAACTAGACAGCAGTTGTGCGCTAAATTAATCTATGCTACCAGTTAGAAGTTTAGGGTTCGTTATTGTTTTTTTTTTCCAAGTCTTTTATGTTTAAAGCTTTTTTTTAAACACTAATTAACACCATAGAATTTTGTTTTCTTCTATAGAATTCAAAAGTATTAGTTAGTCTTTTCCAAACTTTGAGTTGACATGAGACTATCTAGTTTTTTCCCCTCAAAAGTGAGTTCATGACTTGAAATTTTGAGTTATTTGCTTTGAGTTCCGACATTTTTCCTCTGGAAAAAATTAATTCAGAATTGCAAGAAAGCTTATACACTAATTAATGAAAAATGTATAATGATATAAATGAAAATAGCCCAAATTGTGAAATGTAAACTTGAATTTCCAGTAAAAAAAGGCAGAATTTTAATATATAAACTTAAATTCCACGAAACAAAGTGAGAATTGCAAGATATTTGCTCAGTTTTTAGAAAAAAGAAGCAAATTTACGAGACATAAACAAAGATTTGTGAGAAATGCACTTATAATTTTGACATTTTATTAAAAATTGTAATAACGTGTCTCGCAGTATCAACTTTGGATACTAACTTCACAATTTAAAACAAAAAAGGTTTAAAAATTGTGATGTTTCTTTCAGTTTTACTTTTAAGATTAAAATCACAATTATGAAAAAAAGGCTTAAAATGCACAATATAAAATCAGAACTCAAGTAAAAACAGCCTCTAAACATGCAGTTTAGACATTCATTTCTCCTAAAAACTATATACAAAACATTCATTATCTTTTTGTGTTTTTATCAGCATGACTTTGAAGTTTACATGATGCTATTTTGTTTTTTTTTGTTTTTTTTTTCAAAAGTCAGTTTATAACGTATAATATTTATAATGATGTAAATGAAAATGGTCAGGATTTTGAAGTGTAAACTTAAATTCCACAGAAAAGAAGTGAGAATTGCAAGATATTTTCTAAATTTTCTGAGAAAAAAGCAGTAGCAAGACATAAACAAGGATTTGCTAGAAATATAAAATTCTGACTTTTTATTAAAAATTATGATAATGTGTCTCAGTTTCAACTTTTGAGATTAAAATCAAAATTTCAACAAAAAAAAAAAGATTGAAATGCAAGATATAATCGTAATAAAGTCTCTAAACATCTTTTCCCTGAAAACTACACCAAGTACAAATCCACCACATCAGAAATGGTCCTCAATCATTACCGTTTTGTGTTTTTATCAGCACGACACCTGTCCTGTCTGTCGGAAGAGTCTGGATGGTGAAGACCGGGGTTTTCAACCACGACCAGATCCTCAAGAAACAATCCCATCACCTCCAGATTTACCAGAACGAAGCACCTTCGAGACTCTTTAGCCTCTTTCCTGCCTTTATCACTTTAATTATTCACCAGTGCTTCATGAAGCCTCTACAAAGACCTCAGGTGCCTTCTATTTCATTTTAGTCCAGGCAGAAAACCAAATTTGAGATGTCAAAAGCAACAACAAATGGTACTAATATACACTCACAGTGTACTGCTATATGAAATCATGATCGTAATGTTTTTATCCTGATAAACAGTAGCTATGTTTCTATTCAAATATGCAAACTAGACTTATGAGCAAAACTCAACACAGGTTCATTGTGGATATGTACCCCTGTTTACATTTCTGAAGACTGCAAAACATGTACCCAGATCTACGTCTGGCTCAATTTTATCTGTAAAACGAAAGATATGGGGTGGTATTGCTCCGCTGCCGGCTTCTGTTTCTTTCTGTGCTGACCGCTTACCTCCATGTGGACAGCTTTACCAGTGTTACCAGTTTGCCCAGTAGCTCGCTGTGTATGCTGATGGATTTTGAGATGACGTCGGGGTTTGAGACTGGTAAAGAACGGATCCAGAAACCAGGTAAAACAAAAGCAAAAAATATATAAACAAATAAACAACAGGCTAAAAACGTGGTGAACTCGCACTCGCGAAGGCTTGTCTTTTTCTAGATTGCTTTTGAAAACACTATCAGTTGGGTTTAGGGATGGGGTTGGGTTGGTCAGTCAGTCCACAGTAAGCTGGCCTGGTCAGCTGAAGTGTAGATATGTCTAGATATTACACCCTCTGGTGGATTTACGAGAGAAGAGGACGTGCAAAAGAAATTTGAGATCATCAAAAATAGTACACAGTGACCTCTGGTCCATTTGCAAAAACTGCAAGCAGACGTACCGGTTACGTATTTCTCTGTCTTCAGAAATGTAGACCTGGGTACGCATCCGCAATGAGCCTGAGTTGGAAAAACTGGAATATCGCATAAAACATTTGCGAATAAAACAGCGTTTCCATTCAAAGAGAACACAATCGTGACTTTCTGCTAAACTGACGTCAAATATGACTTGTGCCTCAGAAGATGAAACACAGTGAATGTGTGTTGACTTTTGGAGACGTGAAACCACTTTTTGGGAGAGTAGCTGCTCAAGACAGTTCTGGGAGCTAATAATAGGGCTGAAGGATTTTAGAATGACCGAAACAACATTTCAGATATTGTAGAATGTGGTCTGTCACTTGGTTTTCCTTTAATGCCATCTCGTCACACTTATTGCAGCCCAGGCTCATTGTGGAAATGTACCCCTGTTTACATTTCTGGAGACCAGGAATTATATACCCGAAGGTATGTCTGCTTGCAGTTTTTTTTTTTTTGTTGTGAATCCACCTGAGGCCGATGTGTACACTTTTTGATGAGTTTAAATTTATCCAGAGGGCGCAACAACATACACTACAGTTGACCAGCTTGCTATTAACTAACTGACCATCCCATCCCCTCCCTAAACTCTAGCGATAGTGTTTTCAAAAGCTATCTAGAAAAAGAAAGGCCATCATGACCACACAATTGTACCACATTTTCAGATTTTACAACGTTTTCAGTCTGTTATTTATTTATTTGTTGCTTTACTGAATTTCTGTAACCGTTCTTTGCTGGATTTGAACCTTGTCGTCACTGTCCACTCCACTCCATGTCCCAAGTCTTCTGGCATATGTGGAGCGCTACTGGGCAAGCCGTCCATTCAAGCTGTCAGCTAGTAGTGCAAAAAGGAACAGAAGCTGTTGGCAGCATCAGACTACCTCTGAGTACATATTTTGCAGTCTCCAGAAATGTAGACAGGGGTACGAATCCACAACGAGCCTGTGTTGACTTATTTTTATTTTTATAAATCAATATGACTTTGATACACATGCTGGAATGTTTATCTGATAAATGTGATTCCCAACTGAGCCTGGTATCTCTATGGAGGATTTTCCTTCACTTTCGTCAATTGGTGAAGTTTTGTTCCTCGCCACTGGCTTGCTTGGTTTGGCACTTGTGGAGCTGCTCATCGATGGATTTGCTCTTCAGTGTTTGGACTTTCAGCAGTGAAAATTAAACCACACTGAACTGAACTAAACTTAAACACTGAAAACTGGACGGACACTGTTTCAATTCACGATAATCTTCTATGTTAAGCTGCTTTGACACAATTTATATTGTAAAAGCGCTATAGAAATAAAGATGAATTGAATTTCCATCATAGTTTATGCACGTTTATTCTTATTGGTTAAAAATACTCTGTTGTGGTCAAGCTTTTTTATGCAAATTTTCAAAATGTATGTGCATCTTTGTGTTTCCATTAAGCATTTTAATGCCTTCTTTCAAAATGCGCATAAATATAGATGAATGGAAACATAGCTAGTAATTTGTCTTTTATAAATGGCTAAAAGATCGATCCCTGGAAAGCAGCAAGTCATAAGACTGTAGTTATTACATCATGATTTTGTAAATATAAACTCATAAACAGTGTTCATAAACGACTATTGAGATTTCAGTTTAGTTGAGGCTCGGAACCGACTTGGACAACTTAATATCTGGAAATTGTGCCCATAAAAGATGTTTACAGTCTAGCCGGAGGTAAAACATGATAATTCCATGCTGAAAGGGACGCAGTGTTTTAGGTGGTCTGCTGGACAGCAGCTCACCGCGCTGAGATAGATGATACAGATGTCTCAGGGGACACAGTTCAAGTTGCATATGCATTTTTAATAGCGTGGCACACGTTTACCCTATAGCTTCTTCAGAGCTGCCGTTTTAATACCTCACAAAGAAGTTTGTCTACCTGTCGAAGGATGACATCTGTTTAACACATGCCTTCGCTTTTTCTTTTTAAAGGCATCATAGAAATGCAAAGATTTAGATATTTCTGCTGGAGTTTTGCACTGTGAAATGCTTAGTTTGCTGATGATTTGGCTTGACAGTTTACACTACTGTATTCTGCTAGAAGTTGACTGACTTCACTATGTGTGGTTTTATTGGAGGTTTGTGGGTTTAGAGTGGAAAAGTTGGATTGTATTCATGTCTCAAAGCTGTTTGATGTGCTTATTCTCAGGGTTCCTTGACTTTTTGACCCATATTTTGATATTGAGTGTCAATATAATTGATAAGTTCACTTCACAAAATGGCCTTTAAACTTTCTGAGAGTCATTAGAATTTTTTGTACAACTGCAAATATGAAGTTGAAATGTTTACAAGATGGAATAAAGAATGTCGCAATAAATAAAGAAATCAACCCATAATCCAGCTGCAACCCAGTACTGGGAAACATCCAATAAGTTACTATGTTGTTACCAATTTTGTTAAATGTTCTTGGCATCAAAGTGTTAAATTCTTGATCAACTAAACTGGAATATGCAGTAAATGCGGTTTTGCTTATTGATCAAGAGTTTCTGCATCATCCTAGAAGTCTACAAAACTTCAAAACACAACACCAGTTTTTATGTTTTTAAGTGAGATTGTTTTTAATAATTATTGTTTTTTAAATAATCTGCGCAACAATGTAAACTAATGCCATGTCTTCTAATATTTCACAGTGGCATCATGTTGAAAACAGCATAGGGGCTAAAACAGATCCTTGCAGCACACCATATAATAGCCATGTTTCCATCCAAACATGCAAATTAAATTTCTGCTCAGAACTGGAACATTTCATAAAACATTTGCGAACATTTGCGTCACTTCCTTATAAACTGGCGCAAAATATCAAAAGAAAAATGGAAGTTGCTGCATTAGAAGGCATTTTTTCATACATAATATCTTATTTGCGCATTAGATTATGTAAACTAAATGTTTAAGGCTCTTTCAACTATTACGCTAAATAGTCCACGGTTTGTCATATCTTTTTAAGATCATCTCTGCTCGCACTTTTTGGAAGATTTGCGCATTCCGCTGATGTTTTTGTCACTTCTTCCTCGTTTATAACAATTAATTTATGGATTTTTTACAGTGCAGCTTGATATACCCACTCGTCAACATCCCTAAACCCAACCATTAGTGTTGTCAAAAGCAAACTACAGTACAAATCCATTGCAGCTGCGCGCTTCCATGCAACCCAGGCTCATTCTGAAAACGTTGTCCTGTGGTTTTGCAGTTTTTGTTTTCGCGAATCCACGAGAGGCCGCTGTGTGCGCTTTTTTGTATCTCAAATGTACGTCAGCAGACTTGAGACGCAGAGAGGAGCTGACCACGATGATGACGATGACCGGGTAAGAGTGCGGGGAAGAGCGGGTCCAGAAATCAAGTAAGACAAAAACAGAATCCAAAAAATAAAGTGAAAGGGTTCATAACAGGATAAGAATGTGGTAAAATCGAAAACGTGGTAAAAATCAGATGAGAGCTTTTCTTTTTTTGGACGGCTTTTGTAAATTGTTGGTTGCAGCCCAGGCTCATTCTGAAAGCGTAGTTCCGTGGACGTTTCTGGAGACCGTGAAATACCTGCCGGAAGGTACGTATTTTTGCAGTTTTTGTTTTCGTGAATCCATGAGAGGCCGATGTGATCTTTTTCGAATCGCAAATGTCTCTAGCGAGGCCGTTCGCACCTGCGCAGTATTCGCGTAAACCCACCAGGAGCAGCTGTCGAACAAGCGTCTGTCTGACTGCCTGAATGACTGACTGTGCGACCAGCTAATCGGCTGTCCCACCCTCCTCCTTCCCTAATCCCAACCAATTTTACCGATTGATCTGCCCGCCTGCTTACTTCCCTTAACCCAACCAACAGCTTACAACTCAACCCAACCAACAATTTTGCCCCTTTTTTTTACCATCAAGGATGGTCGTCACTTCTTTCTTGTATATAACATTTACGTTATGACCTCATCGTCCACCCAAACATACCTGACAATTTTCACCATTTTTATTATCACATGATATTGTTGAAAATCACATGACTTTTTTTCTTAAATTTATTCGGTAAATGCATTTCTATTAGTTTACGCAAATTTTTTTTCTTATCGGATAAAAAGTTTATCCTACTCAGTTGTGCACATAATTTTTTATGCACATTTTCAATATTTATTTGTATGTCAGTATTTCCATCCTGGTTTTTAGTTATAGATGTTTCAAAATGCGCATAAAAATAGATGGGTGGAAATGCAGCTGTTGTCAACATAAAATTAGATAGTTCCCTGATTAAAAAAAATGCATCTGACAAGTATTTGATGTTGATATACAGAGGGTGTGTAATGACAATGTAATGCTGATATACAGCACAAAACTGTTAATTTAATTAAATTATTTTCCATGATGTTTATAAATCTTAAAACTGTCAAATATTGTAATATTTAAGCCTGTTATAAGATTGCACATGTAAGTAACATTTTGAATAATTACTCACTAATCATTAGTCGTCAATGTGTTGTGTTTAGTTGGTACATATATTTTAGTAAGATATTTTTAGGCACTCTAAGTTAATACTGCTAAATGATGTTGATAATTGAAGTCATCAAAACAAACACACCTATTCCCCCAAATGACCACACCTATTTTTGATTATCTCCACTATGATTACTAGACAAGTCTCTTACTGCTGATTGGCTGCAAGTTATTTATTTACGCTATGGTCAAAATCAATTTTCAAATATTGCTTAGTTAGCACTATAAATTCCTAGTTACACATGTATTAAAGAGATTTAAGATGACATCGAAGGCTGTTGTTTCAAATAAATGCTGTTCTTTTGAACTCTTATAAAAAACATCCTGCAAAATGTATGATAGTTTTTACAAAACTATGAAATGACTGTTAATAATTTTTAGCAACTGATATTATTAAGAAATGTTTCTTAAAACTTCAACATATCAGAATGATCTCTGAAAGATCAAGGGGCACCCAGGCTCATTATGGATACATCCGCTGTATATATTTGACAAACACAGCGCAAAATATGACCAAGGTACGTTTTTTTTTTTTTTGCAGTTTATTTTGCGAATTCACCAGAGGTTGCTGTGTATGCTTTTTCACATGTCAAATATCTCTCGAGTGCCTTTTATGCCTGCTGTTCTCATGTAAATCCACCAGAGGTCGCTGTCGGCTGACTGACTGACCGACTGTTTATCCTACCCACCCCCTTCCCTGAGCCCTGATTAAGCATCGACTGACTTGATCACAAAAGCAATCTAGAAAAAGAAAAGTCCTCGCGACTTCCTGATTTTTACCATGTTTACAGATCTTACCATGTTCCTGCTCTGTTATTTAATTGTTTATTTAATTATTTTTGCCTTTTGTTTATGTTTTGCCTGCTCTCTTTGTTAGACTCGATCCCTGTCATTAAGATCAACTCTTCTCTGTGCCTCAAGTCTGCCAATGTACGCGGCAAGCTACTGGAAAAACTGGTAAGAGCGGAAAAGTTGTCTACAGTGAGGTAAGCGGTCAGCTGGTAAGCATGAAAAGAAACAGAAGCTGTCAGCGGCGTCATACTGGCCCGAAGCATTCGTTTTAAAGACGAAATGCAGCCATATTTAGCTCTGGCTACATAATTTGTGCTCTTCAGAAATGAACACATGGGTACATTTTCACAATAAGATTGCAGGCATGATGCTGAAAATCCAGCTTTGAATCAGTGATTATATTAGTTTACAATTCATTAAAATTGTATGAACATGCCATAGTAGTGTTGGTTTTGTTGTATATTGTACACAACTAAATGCAAGACCTAAAAAAACAGAAAGAAATGTTTTGAGCAGCAGGTTTGTGTAGTGTGAAAATCAGATTTGCTCACACTTACACCAAGTGTGTAATTAAATTCAGATTTTGTAAGACGAAGCTCTTGAACACCATCCTTCCTAATTAATTTATGTCGCTAATGTGTGACACGTCACCATGCCATGCAGTCAGATTAATTATCAACTCATTTGCAGGTTGAAAAAACGAACAACAATTAGTTTTGAAACACAAGTTTCAGCATTTAAACCATCAAGCCTGATTTCCATCTGTTTCTCCAAGGTCATTTCTGCATCATTAGGTAAATGAGTCACATGACTATTCATATTTGTTTCATGAAGCAATGCCCCTGCAATGACAA